AGCGGTCGGTCTCCTAAAAATACGTTTCGCGTCATATAGTTTATTCGTTATACGTCCGGTTTAACGAACGTTTTGTTACCGAACAAAAGCTGCATTAGTACGAAAATATCGCCGCGCTCCCACGCGCGACACATACGCGTAGCACATATATGTATATGGCGTATAGATTGCAACCGCGAAATTTCGCCGTGCGCGAACACGGGCACATAATAAACCCTCGTCGTTGTTCTCACGAAATTCCGCGGAATTAAATTTATCGCATATACGTGCGGGGTCGCATTCTGCCGGGCGCGCCGCGAAACATCGCGTATATACACGTGTATACATATAGTAACGAAATATACATTTAAACAAAAATAATATCCAACGCAATAATCGTATATTCCTGGAACCCTCTGTGACGTCGCCCGACTACTGTTCCCGCTAAAAACAAAATTTCTGTCATTTCCATAAGGAAGAAATGTTTCGATGACGTTCGTTAGAAAAAAAATGGAAAAAAATGTTGCGTTATTCGACAGCCTCAATCAGCAGAAAAATATAATGTATAAAAATGACGAAATATATAAAACCACGCCACGCGAAAGCGAGAAAGAAAGAAAGAGAGATAAGAACGAATATAAATATTTATAAATTATATATACCGCTATATTGCGTGTTAGAAGTAATCTCTATCCCTATCGCAAGTTTTTTTATTATTTAGATAAAAGAAATCACAACGTATATATTTCGTCTTACGATTTTATCGCAAAGCTCGCTCGCTCGCCGAAGTACGGCGGAAAAAAGTACGGAAGGATAATATGAGAAGATGAATCCTCTTTATTGCTAAACAGATGGGCGGTCTGTAGATACAGCTCAATCACGGTTAAATCCCTTGAATCTTTAACTTTGCTGCGCGCAACGCGTTGAAGCAGATTGACCGCCTTTATTGTGAAATACCCTCTCGACCTCTCTTTACTCTCTGCCAAATAGGCACTAAATTCTAGTTAGTCGGATTAACATGCCTCGGTTCACCGATGCTTTATTAATGAGCCGCGTGTCGGCAATACTAATGGTTCGGGATCTCTCTAATGAATGTTTTACATCGCGCGCTATCAACGTTCGCCAGGAATTACGAATGTAGGTATAAAAATTGTTTCGTTAATTATTTAGCGGTTAATCAGCAAGACATATACGACGAAATAACGATGGGAAAACGAATAAAATTCCTTAAAATATTCACGTCCTCGTGTATTTATGCAAATTACCGTGAGATTATCGGGGCCGTCTGCTTATTTTCGCCGTGACTTCGATATTAGACTTCGATATTCCGCGTAATGGCATATTAATTGCGCTCTTGACGTGGATCCGATGCTAATAAAAGCACCTTATTTGTACAAATAGCATTTGTACAATTAAACCTTAAATATACCCACTGTCGCTTTGTGCGTTCTACATATATGTATAGATCGTTGCCTTCGTTTTCGGCTTGTACACGTCAATTATAACGCGTCTGGCGCAAATGAACGCGCGAAATGAGTGCGGATCGACCTTACGTTGAATATTTTCGGCATCGACGAATTCGCATCTGATATTATCTAAATATTAATACTGTGGGCACGAGGAGAGAAAGAAAGGGTATCGAGTGACACGATATTAATGGCATCCGATACCGAGCAAGCAAAACGGTTCCGCGGTACATCGAGGGGGCCGATCTTTTTTCAAGTTACGTTCGAGTGCGTCAGAAAAGTCGCGACTCTCTTATCGGTTGTTCGCTCGATTAACCATAGCGAGTAGAATTGACAATCAACGCGCGCGTGTTTCACTCTTTTCCTTCTCTTTATTCTCCTCTTTCGCTCTCTTTCTCTGTCTCTCCCCTGGGTCTGTCGTCATCGTCATTTCACCCGAATTTCTGCACGTAACTGACGCACGGCTCGAGCCAATCAAACATTGACTCGCATGAGCAACGGGATGATCGGCAAATTAACATAATCCGACGATTCTCCGCGACGACGAAGAAAAAAAAATAGCGCAAGTTTCGCGTCTGGAATGCCTCCGTAGCGCAAATACCGAAATGCGCTCGCCGAATGATTAATTTAAGAATTCGACTCGGTCGAATTGTCACACGAAATGTTAAACGAACGATCGCGAGGTTTTATCGATGACGAGGCGAGCCGTCCTTGTCGTATCGTCAAGGTGCAAATTCTTTTCTCTTCTTTTCTGTGAAGATATCCGATACGGCCAGTATCGTCTTCTATCGATATCGGGTTCTACCTGTTATCACGACGTATATCGCGTACATTACGTCACACGTTACCCTGATATTGTTATCGCTATTGTTATTACTTGGACGGTTATTAGTATCGGTCATCGCGATAACTGTCGCGTCTAGAATATCTGAATATTGCATCATACATATATGCGTATCTCTGAACGTGTGCAAAGAGAGGCACCTCGGAGTATAGTACAATGAAAAATTCTGAAAAGGGGAGTTTCTAATTTCGCGGAGTCTAATTTTCCTTTTTTTAATGGAGGGAGTGCGCGCAGTCACGAAGACGTCCAAATGAGTGATGTCATCGTATAAGGAATGCAAGGTTTACGAAGGGGTTTCGTGCACGCGCACTCTTTTTACGCATATGCAAATAATTTCCGTTATCGCGCCGCGAAAACAGACGGAGACGCAGACGCAAGGCGAACCGTGCGAATTTTTTTTTACAACGCTAATATACGTCAGCGAGATAATCGCGGCCCGGCGCGACAAAGAACGTCGAAAAATTTATTTAAAAAATATACTGTCGTGCGTTTATTAGACGGGAGTACCAGTCTTGGAATCTTGTCGAAGGGTAAATGCAGCGCTACGGAAATAGAATCAATCACGTCGGCAAAGTGCATCAAGTGCCACTCCGCGTTCTCGGAGCACGCTCTTCCACAAAGCGAAACGATAAATTGCATTTCGCGGAGCATGGGGCGCAGCGGCGGCGGCGGCGGTTCCGTAATCAGGCAATCGGCATCGAACTTCGTGATTGCCCGCTGAAAGCTGAAGGTAACGAATTTAGCCGGGTTTCTTTTTTCCTCTCCAACCGACATTTCTCTCTTCCTCTCCCTCTCTTTTCCTTCCTCTTTTCCACGCGAGCGGAAAATTCGCAATTACGTAACATCACCCACCCGGCTGGGAGAAGAAGGAGGGATCCCTGTTCGTCGCACTTCGATGCAGCTGCCCGGTTCGCCGGCGCTCTTTGCCGTAGTACATCACGATAGCGTGTCCATAAATCGCCGCTGTGTAGGCCCTGACGATGCAGATTGCATTCTGATACAATGCGACTCGCGGACGGGGACGAGCGGAGGGAGCGGAGGTACGGACACTCGCGTAATCGTCGTTGCCCGAGCTGACCGATCTCCGACGACGTGGTTTCGTGTGTCACGTACGAACGCTCATCCTGAACCGGCCGATAACGAGAAATCGCAGTCCAGGAAGAACGACCAGCGACTCGAAGCGGCCGAGAATAATGCATATGCACTCTAACGATTTTCGATACTCTCCCGCGGTTGCAAATTCGTTAACATTTCTTCGTTTACGAGCAATAATGATTTATTTAAGAGAAATTAAGGGAGAAATAAATAAATAAAGAAATAAATAAAGAAAGAAAGAAAGCATGATAAATTATATAATTTGGATTGATTAAATTAATTAACGGAGCGTCGGCACCTCCACCAATAAATATTTACAAGTATAATAAATTTACGTGGCCGAGAGAGAGAGAGAGAGAGAGAGAGAGAGAGATATATTGCGACGTAACGCGACTGGCAGTGGTACGTGATTTATTTCGATTTAAAATAGAGATATAAAAAACGGTAGAGTCGTTAAATTATTTTCGCGGACTCGGCTTCTCAATTACTGAAAGTCTACGTCTCTACGTCAAAGAAGACACTGTGAATCGCGCGATGATGAAGCATGAATACTTCGGCGGCGCGGGCGAGTTTACATAACGAACTACGATAAGCGCGTCTTTTACGCGAAAAAGCAGCCGAGCAGATCGGATTGTGCGGCGGGAAACGTTCAAGTGGATTACGACGCGACACGTGAGATTGTATACCAGTCTAAATTCGTCATCTCCAAACTTTGCCTGTCACTTCCAAAATAAACAGTTCGAACCGCCTGTGCCGCCGTCCTCGGAGCTATCAGAGATAGGCTGCTCCGCCCGCGAGCTTTCTCGTAGCCGAGAAATAACTGAATTCTTTATGCCCACCGCTCTCTCGCGGCGGCAGTTTTTTCTAATTACATCGCTGTGCGTCTATCCGAGATCGATTTGTCGATCGCGAGCACGATAATCCTGCCGCGGGACAAAGTTAGACGACAGGATTTACCGTCGAGTAGTTACAATCGTATTATCGTTTGCAGATTACCATATAGTAACCAGTAATCCGGATAATGATACGATGCACAGATGGAAACTCACCGCGGCAACGCCTACGCGCGGTAACGTAACGAGCTCGGAAGCGACCTAAGGCGACCGAGAATAGAGATCTCGAGCGGAGTTGTGAGACTTTTCTTTAGCGTTAATCGCAGAATTAAACTTAATCACACGATTATAATGCCCGATCTACAATAGCTGTAGTAAGCTGTAGTAAGCCTCAAGATGTAAGAAATTGACCAATCACAGTCGATTATTCTCCTCACATTCGCCTGTAATTGGTCAATTTCTTACGGCTTGAGGCTTACTACAGCTTACTACAGCTATTGTAGATCGGGCATAACATCATTATGCAGTTTTGTCACGAGTGGATATTTTACTTGCGAATAAAAATACCGGATATTTTTCTTGTTCTGACGGGAGATCTATGAGATCTTTCCTAAACCTATACGATCGACCCTTCCTCTGGGGTTAAACATTGTTTCTTTTCGATATACAGGATTTTAGTGGAGCTTATAAGAAATCGAGTTTCAAGAGACCTTACGACGCCGGACGCGCAGAGTCCTGCCACAAGCGTGCGATAAAGCGATGTGCATTTAACGTCACACTCACCGTCTTGGAGGACAGGCAGCAGTCGTTGAGATAGAGATGATGCGTCTCCCAGCGCCTGAGGAACTTGCTGGACAGGATCTTCTTCACGAGGGTCCGGGTTTGATTGAGGTAGCACACTTGTATGTCGCCTTCCTCGAGGGGTTTGAAACGTGGCCCGGCCGGACCCGGGCTCGGGCTCGGGCTCGACGAGCCGCTGGCCGACGAGCAGCCGGCGCTCTGTCGCTCCAGATTCGGGCAAGATCTCGCGGCCGGCAGGCACCCGGTCGTCGCGTCCAGACCCTCGGGCTTGAGCGAGTCCATGCCCGGGCTGCTGTCCTCGCCGTAGGAGCTGCAGGTGTCGGCGGGCGGGGACTCGACGTTGGAACGCAAACTCGCGCCGGACGACAGCTGGGGCGAGCTGGTGCTGGTGGTCTCCTGCCGCATCGCGCCGCCGTTCACCGACAGGAAGTCGTAATAGGGCACCGCGGAGGAGGTCAGGCCGACGGCGGACGCGGCCGCGGGGCTGCACGGCAAGGACGAGCCCTTCGTCTCGGTCGCCGGACAAGTCCGCTCCTCCTCGTTCTCCTCGTCGTCGTTCTCCTCCTCGCTGAAGCCGTTCTCCAGAGACGGAATGTCGCCGACGGAGGCGGTGGTGGCCACCTGAGGGCTTCCGGTAACGTCGATCTGCACCGACGGCGACGAGACGGTCGTCGCCGTGGCGTTGTCGCTCTGCTGCCCCTCGTCCGTACGTGGATTCCTCGACGAGGACGAGGACTCCGCTATCGATTCGCTCAGGGGCGAGGGAGACGTCGACGAGGAGCGAGTCGTCTCGCCGTTGTTCAAGCTCGAGGAATCGTTGGAGCGGATACGCATGAACTTGCGGCGCCAGCCGCTGCCGTTGTTGCTCGACTTCTTCGTCGGCGACGGCAAGAAACAGCGCGCGGTCTGATTACTCTCGTCCTGCCGTTCGCCGATACCGTTGTCGCTGTTCAAAGCGACCGTTATCCCGCTCGGCGAGGTCAGTGCGTCCGGTCCGGGCGACAGGGGTTCCGGGTCGAGGTAATCGGCACGGATACCCGGCAGGGTGTCCGTGCTGCTACTGCCGGACATCGAGGCCTCCTGGTCGATGTACCTGATGGAGGAGTTGGAGCCGTCGCTGGCCGCCTCGGAGCCGCGTCGGTTGCGCTCGCTCGCGTTAGACGTCCTGCCGGGCGACAGAATTGCGCTGGTCAGCGAGGACTTGCCCTTCTCCGTCGTAGACAGCGACCCGGCGGACACGACGCCACGCGACGATCGCGTGAAGGGACGTTGGAAGCAAAACATTTTCAAATGCATGTAGAAACTAGAAAACGACAAAGACGCGAACGAGTCGTCTACGTGACAGCGAGGTTGAGCGTCGTCCTCGTTGTAGCTCTCTCGTATCTTCCTGTTCTGGTCGTCACGAACATCAGGGCACGCGCACGAACGACGAACGTGTCGGCGACGCGACCGGATAGAGAAGTTTACGCGCTATCTGTTTTTTCTGCCTGAACTTTCCCGCTTCTCTTCTGACGCCCTCGTAGACCGATAATCCCCGTCGCCGTCGCGCGTCCGCGACGAGGGAGACTTCTCCGATATCTATCGACCAGGCCGAATCCGCGTGCCGGAACGAAAAAGGTCGAATTTCACCCGTCGAATTTTCCCACGCGCGATCTTCCACTACTTACTTTTCCCGGGAGGAGGGGTTAAATCGTCCGATCGCTCGAGGGGAGCGTATACGCACGCGAAGGGATCACTTTAGCGCCTCGGGGCAATCACTAATCACCATTCGCGGGGGGGAAAAGAGACACGATCAATCGGTCGGATCAGGCACTCCAATATAATCCCCCGGATATCCCGGAGATTCCCGAAGAGAACGTGCCTCGCCTCGACGCCAAGCTCAGTCGATCCTTTTTTTGCGCGCACGTTGGAACGCGCCACGACACATCCTCGAGGTCTGCGCGCCGCGGTAGACGCCGACGTACTGATTCCCACCTACGACGGCGAGAGTACGGCGTCGACGACAACACCTCGTGCGTTGCCGGTGGCGATGTCAAAGCCACCGCGGTGGCGTTCGGCGCGGGGGAAACAACGCGCGCGATCCACGCCCGCCTGTTCGGCAACAGGACTATTCGCGCGCACGAGAACGAAGGAAGCGGCCAGGTGATCCGGAGAAAGAAGACGGACGGGGGAGGGAGAAAGGATGGAAGAGAGAGAAACGGGGTGAGAGAAAGAGAGGCGGGAGCGGAGAGGGGGAAGATGGAGAGCGAGAAAGGGACGAGGAGAGAGCGCGAACTAGGCGTGTGTTTCCGACGTGATACGTAAATGTCTGACACGACACCGGAGACAGAGGATAGAACAGGTGGGGACGCCCGAGAGCAAGGCGAGGAGAGGGCGTCGCGGCGCGCGGCGTCTGCCGGCCGATCGATGACTAGTCGCGAGTTCGCGCGGGATTATCGCACGCCCGTCTCGCGGACGTGTACACGGTTTGCCCTCCGCTCTTGTTCGTGCCTCTCGTTGCGTAATCTAGGTGTGCGCCAAAGTACGCCGGATATGTCGACTCTTCCTGAATCTTAAACCCCCCGTTCGGTCACGAATCAGCTAGAAGCTATCTCTCTCCTTTCGCCGGACGATTCTCGCCGGGCACTCGATGGACGAAGACAACGGTGCCGAAGACGCTTCCTCTCTTCCTTTCTTCTTCTTTTTTTCTAATCTTCTTCTTGTCGATTGTTGTTGATCGCGCCAGGCTAACTTCAAATCGTATAGCACGACTATGAAACTCGCACGGACTCGGTTATTACCGCGACAACATTGCCGTAATCATCGGTCCGTTTCCGGTCTCCGCGAATGATCACGATCGGCGAACGCTGTCCGCCAACTCGGCGAGATACACAGGGACTTGATGCTGGCTTGGTGCTTCCGACGCGTTTACATCGTTGCATCGTCCTACGATTAGCGGGCGGAAGGCCGGGGAAGATCGGCAAGAGATTCGGCCCGGCCGAGTCGAATTGACCGTACGATTCGTCGTTTCTCCGCGCGTGCAAATACCCCGACGACGATCGACGTCAGCAGATTTACGGAACTAATCTCGTGACGCGCGTCCGCCATGCCGATTAAAACGGATCGCGGTTGTGTGTGCAACGACGCGGGTGAGCGATTCCCGCGATTAGATAGCGTAGTACCCGACGATCCTTATCGCCGCCCGATTTCTTCGTCTTTACAGCTGCGTGCTGCGTCGCGCGCGGATTATTCCACTGTATGTATTGTAGACCGTAAATTCCACAGACCGCGCCGTGTCTTCTTTCACCTCGGCGAATTCCTCGTAACGAAACTCGCCGTTGCGCGCGGCCGAAAGTTGTCTTCGAATAATTACGCGAGCGTGTCCGTCGCGGCGGCCCAAATCTAAGAAGATAAAGTTTTTCTTTTATTATTGCGTCGTACTTAGTTAACATGCACTCCGTGTACTTCGTCCTCTATGTATCCTCTATGCACGGAGTAAACAAAATTTCATGATCCGTGAAATCTCCTTTTTTCATCTCGTCAACATCTGCCCGAGCGTTGTTTTCGCGTCACGAACGAAGACGCTCGGTGACGAGAGAGTTTCGCCGCTTTAATCTCGAACAGTGTCCGAAAACAGTTGTCCCGGCATTGTAGGGTAAATCGGGAAGCGGCTCGCTGTGCAATCTCTTCTTCGCCGAGCGATAAACCTCGGACGTCAATGATAAAGGCAGCAACGTCACGATCATCAATTTTAATAATTTTAATCTGTGTCTACCTACAAGATACAGGCGCCGACTGTCTAGTGTCTCACATTCGCTCAGAGTCCGCGCCTTCGGAATCGGAACGCGTACTTTTACTGCGTCCCGTTAGGCCACGTGCGCGCGCGCGCACACACACATGCACACATACGCGCGCACACAAACGTCTAACGCGCGTCTCTACTCGTATGCGTTTTACGACCGCGGCGTCACGACCGCGACGTCCCGTTTCGCTCCTTCCGCGCGCGGAACCCGCAGAATTTCCGTTGTTCGTTCCTCCACGCGACGATTCTGCCGACATTCGCGCGATCGCGGTTTATTAAGAGCGACTCGCCACTACCGCAGCTCGCGAAAGAGACCGTTTCCTCGCGGCGTGCATCACTGACGCAAGAGCGCCGGGCTTTAACTCTCGGACTCTCGCTCTATCCCGGCGGCCTCTCTTTTACTCGCGCCGCGAGACCGGCGAGTACCGTCCGTTCATCCCCTCCTCCGGAGCCAGCTGCCTCCTCGCGCTCTCTCTCTCTCTCGCAGGCAGCCCCGAAATTACCGCGTGCCGAAATAAATCACGCTCGCGCCTTCCCGCGCGGACCCGCGTAATCGCGTTTCTCCTTTCCTCCACCCGTTATCGCGCGGCGACGACGGAAGACGACGCGACCGCGTGCACTTCCTACGAGGAGAACTACGCACACGATCGCCGCGTTTCCGCCCGCGGACACCCCTCCGCGGGGCCGGGGGCCAGGTTTTACGACGGCGTCACGACCGCGACGTCCCGTTTCAGCTCGTTCCGCTCGCGCGGAAGCCGCGTATCCAAGCAGCGTCGGCTTCTCCGCGAGGCGCGTCCCGTCCGACCGCTTTTCCCCTACCACGCGACAACGATCCGCGGTCTCCTCGACGACGTCGATCCGCTCCGCCGTCTCGTTGCTACCCGAGTCCCCACGGGTTCGGCGTCTCGCGGGGCGACGCGTTCCTCCTCCGCTCCTTTCCCCGCCGACGATCTTCCCTCCTTCCGCGACGATCGGCTTTAAATTTTATTCGCGTCGCGAGAGGTCGAGGGCAGGTGATCGCGCCGCGGACGCACGCCGGACGCGTCGCGTCGCAGACCAGGCGCGACGTCAGAGACTCTGAGACACGTGGTGGGCCCAGGTCACGTAGATCGCTGCCCCGCCGAGTGACGCCGAGGTGAGCGGGCGCGCCTCGGCCGCGCCTCCGGTTTTCCCTTGTCGTTGTTCGCCACCTCCTCATCCACCGTCTCTCCCCTGCGCATCCTCGTCGTCGGCACGACGCGGAGGGGTTTGTTCCGACGGACGTGGGGCCACTGGCTGGCACCGCGTCGTGGGCGACTCGTCGATATGGAAGGCGGACGTCGACGGCGACGACGATGACGACGACCGCGGCGCGGCGGGCATGCGTGTTGAAGAGAAAAGCCGCCGGCTTTCACGTTCACGCCTGCCTACCGCGTTCCTCTTCTTATCCAAATGCCTCCTTCGTCCGTTTCTGTCTCTCTTTCTGGAGCACCGAGCCGGAGGCGCGAAGCCACGAGTTGATTTCGCCGGGAGGGGTACCGGACCCCCCGTTTGCCGATGGCCGCGCTAACGTAAAGAGTTCAAGCTGATCAAACCCGCGCGATAAAGACGCCGTAAAGACGTCTATAAGACTTTTTCAGGTGTCTCGAGGGAGACCTTCACTGTCGCTCGGGGGAGGGGGGGAATCTTCTTTACTTTACGCGAGCGATTCCGGTGCAGTCGTGAAGAAAATTATATGTATCGAGAGCGACCATCACAGCTGAGACTCTCACTATCAGCTCTTTTCCCATGCATCCGAAAATCTTTTTCCAATAGTAATCATCATTAAGCGCAAATAAGCGTCTCGCCGATTCGAACCTGATTTACTTAAAGTTTTCTATATCCTCCTCTCGATTTGTTCAAGAAATCTTTAAAAGCAAGCCCTCGCGGCGCAAACTCGTTACCGTCGTCGTAACATCGAGTTGTTCGAGAAGAATCTCTGGAACGAGAGCAGACTTCGTCGAACGAAGCAAAAAGACGCTCGGGACGATCAAGAAAGAAAGGAAAAAAAAAGCTCAACGTCCGCGAAGCTGTCGAGAGCGCGTCTGCGCGCTTCCGCTTCGATCGCGCGGCTGGGACGACCGTCACCGTCACGGCGCGCACCGGGATTTCTTTCTGCCCCCCCTCGGCGAACGTACTCCCCTGACCGCGGCGTGTGTCGGCGAGTTACGTCAAACGTGTGGTCCACGCTCCATACTCTCCGTGACACGTATTTATAAACCGATCGCGAGCACGCCACTTCGATCGACGTCCAGGTCACGACGGCGATCCCGATTTCCGCGCGAGGAACGAGCGACCTCCACGGACCAGTCGTCGCGTCGCGCAAGAACTTCAATAGTTGAAATAGATACATCGGGCGCGGCGGCTTCATCTCTCGTAGACGAGATCAGCCAATAGCATATTTTCAGACCTACGCGATCTAATTGTGGTATAATGTCCGCCCAGGGGCCGACGCTTTATTTTTACACCCGCGGGAAATAGCGCGGCCCCTCGCCGCGTCCCGCTTTCTCCTTGACTTTCTACGACATTTTCACCGAACCTTCGGTGAACGACGATTAAGTATTTTGACGTCAATGCCCCTCCTTCCTTATCGTTAACCGTTTATCTGAGGAAACCGCGCGGAGAAACCGGAGGCGCGAGAGCGCTTCGGCGCTCCGCGATGATCTCTCGGCGAACGAGAGACGCTCGGTTCGTTGACGTTAATTCGTCAATATTATGTTACTCTTTGTGAAATTCAATACGCACGCCGCGACACGCGGACTGGTTTGACGTTTCGCGCGTGTCCACGTCGGTCACGCAATTCTAAAGGCGCTCGCGCGCAATAATAGCCGCGCTTAGATTCCGCACGTGCAAGCTTCCGACCCGCGAGACGAAAGTCCGGGGGCACGTAAAGGTCACGGTCCGCGCGATAAAAAGAGTAGTATCCACGTGCATCGAATTAGGCCCTAATCCCCCGGATCGTGACGCTAACATATCTCTAAGTTACTGTTTTCAATTCCGCCGTCAGAAGCCTACGTCCAAGGCTACTCCGAAGTTGACGTCACTCAGACGAGGAATGAATGACTCTTACCAATGATCTTAAATCTACCTGCCTTAGCCTAAGGCGGCCTAAGCCGTAGCGTGAAAGTCTCACGTTACGTGGGTTTGAAAAATCTTGCTACGCGATAGCCGCAGAAATATCGATTTAACGATATACCGTAATGTTGCGACATAACGTTACATTATGGCGTTTCAGTCTTGCTTTATTCAGTACATTTATGTATAAGTAGTAATCAATAGAAAAATATATATATACGTATGTATATGCAGTTTCATATCTTGTAAGAAATTATATCACAATTGGTTTTAGGCAATTAATTAATACGTATTAATAACAGTTTGTTTAACCTGTCACTTCTTTATCCTTGGAATCCTCCGATTTCTGCGCAATAATCTCGACCGATCCACTCTGCATAAAGCTCTCTATCTCCTCGACTCTGAAATATAAAATTGCATGTAAAATATTTCTCGTCCCGGACGATATTTACAGTAAATACATGCGCACGAAATGAATGCTTACGTGCGAGGAACATCCGTCAAATTCTCTACTCCGGTTTCCGTTATGAGGACGTCATCCTCGATCCTGACGCCGCCAAAACCTCGGAACCGTTGCAGCTGATCCTTCACGAGAAATTTCGACTGCTCCGGATTGGCAAGAGCTTGATCGAGCAACTGTAAAATGAAAAGTCATCCATGTAAATATCCGAAAAGACTAGCTCTGAAGTTCGTGTAAACGCTATTCGCAAATGATCTCTACACTTACGGTGTCTATGAAATAACAGCCTGGTTCCACCGTAAGAATCATTCCGGCCTCCAATTTCCGCGCGGTTCTCAGCTTTCTCACTCCTGGTGCCGTCGGACGTTCAGGAGTGAGAAATCTGCCTGACGGATATCCAAGATATCCACCGACGTCATGCACATCCAGTCCCAACAAGTGACCCAGTCCGTGAGGCTGGAATATCTCGTTCAGGCCCTCTTTTATCATATCCTCGACGTCGCCCACCAGCAGTCCACCTTCTTTCAACGCCGTCAACATGACCCTGTTCGCCAAAAGATGCATGTCCGGCCAGCTAACTCCCGGCTTCGCGGCTTTGATCACCGCGTCGCGCGCCTTCAGCACCGCGTTGTAGATCAGTTTTTGATCCTCGGTGAATTTCCCGTTGGCCGGAAAGCTGCACGTGATGTCGGCCGCGTATCCGCAATAATTGCCGCCCATGTCGAACAAGCTGCGCGACAGAGAAGAAAAAGTATTACGCAAGTGTTGCGACACGCAATATTGTAAATGCAATATGTATAAAGCAAGTAACAAGTATCTCAGCTGCAAACTAACGCCAACTGAAATCTTACCACATATCTCCATCCTGTATCACCTTAGCATTCGGCGCACCGGCATGACCGTAGTGCAATATTGAGGAATTATGCCCGGATCCGCAGATGCATGTGTAAGACACGTGCCTGCATCCTCCCACGGCGTATACATAATTCAAAAAGCAAGCCTCTGCTTTGTACTCTGGCATTCCAGGGCGCACGGAGCGCATTACGGCCTTGTGCGCCTCCGAACTTATCTTGACAACGTACCGCATTACCTCAATTTCTTCGGGAGTCTTTGTTACCCGGCTGTATAAAGCAAAAAAGAAGAATTTACAAAAACTATGTATGTTGCCTCACGAAAATAGCTGTAAATTTCTTTGCAGACGTTTATTCCATTTTAGAGTACAATACTTTACTATTCTATTCGCAAAATTCGTGCCATCCGTAAGATACGCGTATCACGCGCGAAACGATTTATAAAGCATCTTCGGCGGCGTCCAGACTTTGTGACAAATAGGATAGCAATTTGTCGTCCTGATCGGCGAGTTCTGCCAGTTTCGCGTAATCTAAATGTGCAACGCGGAAACCCAATTTCCTAACTTGACGTTTTCTCATTACTTGCGGCCCTATTAAGAATCGCGTATTCCAGCAATAGTATTCGGGCAAATGGATTAGAATCGCGGTATTGACGTTTCTCTTTTTATGCAGATTTAAGTTGAAGACCGGCGTTGACTTTAAAAGCGGGTGTATCAGTACATCCAAGATGTAGAAATTTATGAGAGGCAGTCTGCTCAAAACCACGCTCCTGCTCAACTTGTGCTCGCCGCCTACCACGTGCGCCAGTGGTTTGTGTATTTTATTAATAATACCCCTGATTCGCATGTCCGAACTTAACGACTTCGTGTTTCTGTCTAGGTTAATCGGGCTGCCACGATAATCCTTGCATTCCAACGACATGGTCGCGTCGAATAATTTCAATTTGTTTTTCAGGCGCGTGACGATAGGCACGTCCCTGTGAGTTTGCAGCCTATTCATAAGATACGAACTGAAGACTTTATCCAAAAGTTTAATGGGATATCTTTCGAGATACGTGCAAGAGAGAAGAATATCTAATGCGTCGTTCAGCTTTAAATCTGAGAATCTCGCGGACATCACCTCGTCGAACGTCTTCCAAAACTCGGTCGGATCTGGAGGTTGTAGATTCAATAATCCAAACGGCGCGAGAATGGGGGACAATAACGTAGGCGGAATTTCCATCCCGTGTCTCATGAAATATTTTCCACATTCGGCGAGCACGTACGGACTTCGAATTCGCAAATCTTTACAGTAATCCATGATGGAGGCGATTAAATTAGGATCTTTCATCTCGGTGCCCTTGGTTGTTACGTATCTCGCCAACGCTTGTTCTATATTTTCATCAACGTATTTCTTCGTGCGTAAACCGCCGATAAAATTGACGAGATCCTTCTCGGTGGAAGTGGTCATGCTCACGCTTGCCCACTTACTAGCGCTCGACAGACATCCCTTCGAGGACTCTTCCCCGTAAAGACAATTCAGTATACTGGCCATCTGCGAGCCGGTCAACTTCAGCCACTGCTCCGACAGTTTCTTCTCCAAAATGATCTGTACCATGCTCTTGCTTCGTTGGAAGTATTTCAGCGATCTGAATAACGGAACCAGTAGATCCGGTTTGATATCCTGTTCCCTGCACGCCAAACCTACCCACAACGTGTCGATGCAATTTCTGTACTTGGCGTTTCCATAATTAGCTAGGATTCTCACCGCTCTGATTAACTGCGACACGGTAAGCTCGCCGTCCGTGGCTCTAATCATAACTTCGTTGCAGATCCGGTCCCTATAAATATTTGTCGAAGGGCTAAATCTGTCTCTCTTCAGTGCCTTCAGTCCTTGTAATATCGTCTCGCTGTCTTGACTCTTAGCAATCAGATTCACAAGCTGTTGCAAAATGATGTCTCTATTGATAGTCTCCGCGGATGGTCGTCGAGCGTTCGACGAGGTTTTCCGGTATCGGTGCCACCCGCTCTCCAACTCTATCATCTTCCTCAAACTTTGGAGCGCTATCCGGCAATTTATCTCGTCCGCGATCGTGTTCTCCAGCAAGGAATAAACTCCTTTATTCGCGTTCCCCGAGTTTATCGCGTCCAGAACCTGCGCCACGTCCGTGTTTTTCAGGCGCTCGATATCGGAGCAGTAAAGTATCGCCGTGCCCTCGTCGGTCTCTATGCTAATGGTATGTTTTAAGGGCCCATTCTTCGTCGCACTAGTGCCGATAGAATAAGGAACGCTCTCCTTGTGAATCCCCGCTGGTTTTTTATTTTTATCTGACGATTCAATAGTCTTCCGGCTTCGTGTGTCGAGGAGAACTTCGACGTTGGTGATCCTTTTGACTATCAAAGGAACCTCTTGTATGCGCGCACCTTCTTGCACGAAGATATTCGTCTGAGTCAACAGTGGCCCGCCGTGATCGCGCGCGTTTGACTCGAACCATCTCCTTTTGAATTTGGAAATCAAACCGAACGGCTGCACGAGCACTCTCGCAGAAAAGTTTCCCCGGCTCGAGACTATCATCTATAATAGCAATTGCAAATGAGATCAGAGCACGTTGCACTTCCCGATAAAGTTTGCCTCTTTTTACCTTCCTGCGTCACATTACAAGCCTCACGTATTCGATATTTGGTATCTTAGTAATTTCCTTAAGAAACGTCCGAAGGCTCTTCTCAATCTTCATGCTTGCGCGCCACGTCGGAAAATTAAGACGTTACGTCGCGGGGAGAAAACTTTCGCCTTTAATTATTTGTTTGTTTTTACATGCGTCAAATTATATGTAAAATTTAAAATGGTTGTTATATGTCATAACTCAATAGAAAGTTGTCAGAGTTGTATACCGATGTAGCGACGTGTATAATTCCACGAACCGACCAGCCGATGGCGGCACTGATTCTTCCAGGCACAATCGATATGCGATATAAATAACAAAAACTGAGCTAACAAAAGCTGCGTTTTATTTTTTTTAACTGTATAGGCTGCATTCCTATATTCACTGTCAGTACTGAAAATCTATATTTTTTCTATATTTTACGTATACTATAGATTTTCAGTACTGACAGTTGCTGACAGTAAATCGGAATGCAGCCATTAGTAACTCGATAAAATAGTTTTACTTTAATATATTAATTACATTGTACTCTAAAAGGCATCGTTCGATATCCGTGTCTAACTACAACAAATTCGCCTACCGCTGTCTTATTTCTCTCTCTCTCTCTCGTCGCATTTAGGAGAAACGAAGCTGTAAAAGTTATTATTAAACAAACTCGGCGTACTTACAGCTCGGCTATTTCTGGGTGCAAGACTTCATTATCTCTCGGGATTCTACGACAAGAAAAATCGTTATTAAAACCTGCGTCCATGGCGTGTTTCTACCTTAACGTGATTCTCATACTTACTTCATGATGCCATCGAAATCCGCTTGAGGCTTCACCAATTTGCTATCGCTGTTTTCGCCTCTCTGCAATGCGCAAAGAAAAGAAAAGGAGTGATTATCGTATTCAGACGACCGTGGTTTGGGCAACACAGCAACGTGTAGCGAGCAGGGTATCGTTTGGGTCAAAGTAAAAGCGAGCAGCTTACGCAATTCGGATTCAAGTCGGAATAGAGAAAGCGGTCCTCATCCGGTCGGAAGCGAGACAAATGTTTTCTGTGCCATCGATTTTCTACCGTCCGCGGCAGGATAATGTTACGCGTGCGTGATAACGTTACGTGTATCAAGACCGAAAGATAACGACCGCATAAATTCTTAGTGCGTCATGCATTAATTGAGCGATTAATCGGCACGTAAAATTATGTCGCTGCGCCGCGTAATACTCTGAAATACCAATTTCCTCATTGTGATAATTTTAAATTCTACTCGTGCGACAAGTAGGATATACAAGTTTTCATACGGATCGCATGTGTTGAGACGTTTCTTTTACACGCGCTACATTTCCTTGCGCAAAGCTGGATTTTCACATGTTACACGTCAAATTATGCACCTGCGTAATGAGGCGCTAGTTAGCGAGTACTTTTTACACACGTTTGCGATATTAGAGAGCGCTAATCGTTTTTTCGCTGAGGGGATAAAAATGTTTGGATCGGCTAAATAGCGAGTATCGCGCCGCGAATGTGCCTGTCAGCATTTGTTGTATCGGATATTGCGAAAAGCCGCGCGCGACGTGTCGCATAAAAATATGCGACAGCAATACCGTTTGCCATGTAATCATAATTAGAGTCGCGAACGGTATCGCCGTGTGTATATGTGTGTGGGGGGCTGGTCTATGAAAGACAAGTGTTTTATCAATGCTGAGAATCTATATAAAGCTACCGTGGTAGCGAGCTATTTGCTTTACCAGACCGGCAGATTAAAACGCGTATAAATTACGCGTGTAACATCGCGGCTCTCCCGAGAGCGCGACGATTCGCAATCGCGTGTCGCGCTATCGAAAATAAAAATTTATCGCAACTTATTACGCTCTCTTATCTAAATTTATTTGCCTCGATGCGTACAACGGTATCTAAACTACCTCGGTGTTGATATCGGCAAGTTTCGAATAATTTTTTTTTTTCGTGCGATACATTTTACAAAGGTCAAACCTCCGTCACCTGTCTCTATAATTAGATACTTTATTCTGCGGTACACGCGCGCGCAGTCGAACGTATTTCTACGAGAGATACGCCTCGGTATGTGTATGCTACCGCTAGGCATGAAAGGTTGCATTGTGACTCGGCCGTCGTCGATTACATCCCGTGCCTATTTCTGCCGGCCCGCTTGAACGAACCTCGACTTTAATCTTGCGCCTCCCGCCGACCACCCCGGGGAATCATGATGTAACGCCCTGTGACCGGTATTATAGTTCCCAAACTTGTCTCATTTGCCATGCAGACCGCGTATCCCGCGCGGTCTATCGGCGATCATAAATTTCTAAACCGATATTGATCGAACGACTACATGTGTGACGACAAGACCGCGGCTGGAGGTAAAGGAATTTTGACGAGCATTCATTATGCATATGCAATAATTCGCGTCGCGGAAATGTCGAGCTCAATTTTTTACGAGTTCCTGCTAATTTTAACGATGACTTTTCACAATACACGTGCAGTCGGTTTATCTTGTTTGGATTTAATCCTTAAATGCCACACCTCTCAAGAATCTCGTAAATGACGTGAGGGGTCTAAAAGACCCCAGCATGAAAAATGTCTCCTTACTCATTGATTTTTTGATATTTATAGTTATGAAAATTATTTTCAATGTTGTTCAAGGCTTAGAAAAGAGAATAAAATGCTTATATTGTTAAAATTTCAATTTCAACATAGTATAAAAAATTAAGTAAACTGAGTACTGCTAAGTGTACAACCGGGTAGGTCAATCTCTCAACTATCATCAATGGGAGCATGAGCTCCATTTTTGGGGGGAACATTTGAAAATATATCATTGTAAAGGGTCTGGGGTCCGCTGGACCCCGGGTGGCATTTAAGGGTTAAAAATCGAAAACTAAAAGAAAATTCAACATTTGGTCACGGTCCTTTATACAATGTATATATACACGTGCGCGACAAACACGCCGGTTCGGTGCAGTGTTATTCCGACCGGTATGAATCATTTTGTTTCCATTCGTGTTTATCAGCCATTAAATTAGCATTGTCACGCATGAATATCGCATTGTCGAGTGGTAATCGGCTTAGCATGCATTGTTTGCAAACAATATTCAGCGGTGTAATTAACGATTAAAGCCCAAGGGCGTAATTTCATGTTAACGATTTGACAACCTCGGAATAAGCGATAATTAGTTATCGCATATTCTCATCTTATCATACATAAAACAAATACGTTGATCGCGTAATTTATACAATAAAATTGAAACATAAAATCGCGTTGCAAATGAAAACATTTGATTTCGCGTATCTTACGTTGCACATACGTTATATGTTAATCTTTCAAAATAAACCAGACTGAAAATTGAACGCCGAGCCGCGTTTCGATTAAATAAGTATACGTAATAAGTATATGAAAAGAAAGTTCTCGATTACACGAGATGTTGCGTCAGGATTATATTTAACAAAACGCACGGCCGGTTTTCAATTGAATAACAGATCGACAGATAAAATAGACTCGTTTTTGACGTTAAAAAAGAGAACGCTTTCGAAGAGATTACGATTTGCAGTAAGGCAAGAGTAGGATAATAAAAATAAGCGCGACGACAAAGCTCTGCGGCTTTATTATAACTCTTTACCCCTAAATTCGAGCCATAATGTTAAACGATGTGAACTTTCGAAACGTCTTGGGAGAAGGAGTTTCGTGACGCCGATCTCGATCCTACACGCGTCGTACACTTCGGTCTCACGCATTTCGGAATAATGCAAGACGATCAGCAATTGCCTACGGCAAACACCGAGCGTTGTTCTATCTCTTATTCATGCCCGTTGTCCCCCGTACATTTCAGTAAAATAACGTTTCCCGCGAAGCCGCATTAAATATTAATTTTTTCCCGGTAAGTTTCGCAGCGAAATTCGATTTGTTTCGAGCGGCACTGAAAACAGGGAGAAGATTCAAGGCCGGAATCTACGTGGCACTGCTAGAAACAGCGTCTACGTGCTAACGCACAGACCAGTCTGTGGACCGAATAAATAGTCCGAATAAATAGTAGAAATAACAAAACTCATCCCGAGTCCGCAGAAAGATAGAACGAAATATCTCGATATTAGACATTCTACTTCGTGAGTGCCGACTGATGTAAACAACCTCCGCGGCCGTCGTTCGTGTACGTGTTCCGCGAAGTTTCGAGACATTCGTGGAAAGCGTATGTAGAGTAGCCGAATCGATTTTCGATACGGTCAGCGACATGGACGGTAGTTGAAATGATCTGTCTCGCGGCTATCGCGCGGTTCGTTAATGGACATCTGCGAGCTTATGCTTCACATCGATCCGACCACTAGACAAACACTGACAGCTCTATGTCAATTTGCCTGACAAGTAATAATGTACACTGTATACAACGTACGCGGCTAAATGAGCGCAAATCGAAAGATAATCGAGCGTTACAATTCCTGGAAATATATACCATCGTTCTATCGCGCACGGGCCTTTGTGAATTTCCTGGTTTCACGTAAACCACGCGAACGTCTCTCTGGAAACGCTTAATGCGCACCGCGGGGATCAGCAAAATGCCCTGAATTGCTTCAAATTGGCCTAAATTGCGTGTTCCCGCGTAACCGGCGTATATTAGCAAAACTAGTTCCGCGAATTTGCCGAATATCTCTCAATCGCGACACACACGGGTCGCTTGCATCACGACCGGAAATAGCAAAAATTGTTATAAAAATGATGTATTTAAATCGCACGTTTTAAAGCTACATATTTCCCGAGCTAATCAATGTTTTTCGCCAATAATTGTATAGCTATTATACCTGTATCGCAATAATGTTCATCGCTAGAACCGATACAATTTGTAGGATAGTTTTCAAAAGTGTTCTAGAAATTAAAAAATATATATCCAGGATTTTCGATTTAAGAAATTTAAACATCCAAAATATATACAAATATATTTTTTAGATTTCAAACATATCTGTAGATAGCATCTAGATATAAGAATCATAAACATCATGCCACGAGCTCTTTGATAAGTACAATCTTTTTGTTCGAAATCTCCATTGTCCGAATAATCAACTCTATGTAAACGCCCTATTCAAACTATTCAAACATTCTATTGTCCAGAATATCTCCTTATAGAATATTTCCTTCTTCTCTTTCTGCTGAAACCTGAAACAACTATTCTAAAGATAAAGATATGAAAGATAGATTATCGGTTAACGGGAAATATCAATACCTATGTGCACGACTGTGAACGAATTGGGTACGCTTCGGAAAAATCTACTTGTGATCTTAAAAAAAAAAAAAATTACTTTCTGGAACGAAGCGCTTTTTACATCGATCGACTTATTTATTAACGATACGAGTTGTCTATATTTCCCGCGTACCGAGAATACTAAAAGGTTGAGTGCGGCTGTTTACTGAAAATAGCGTGTGTTCTCCGCATTGCCGGTTACAATCGATACGAGAGCAGACCCGTATCTTTTGGACTTCGTGACGCGAAATCTATTTGCGGCGGCGCGCTATCAGATAAGCGTTCCACGTAATGTATTTGTACGGTTCGGGTCGCCCGTACCCGAACCGGTACCCGCGGTCACCCAGTTACGTTGTCATTGATGCACCGTGTGCGACTAAGGGACAAATTGTTTCTCGTTAGATAGCGACCGGTTGAAAAATTTATCGGTCGTTTTTCAACGCGATCCAACGCGACGAACGCGATTATCTGTGTCACAGCCGAAGCTATGTAAATCGCTTCGCGAATCGGTTGTGTCCGCTTGCAGATGACGAGGTCGCGGGGATGGAGCAAATATTCTATGTTATCATGGTTCTCGTCGCTTGGCATGTCATTACGCTTCGGATAAAAGTGTCATACGCGCCGTCGTGTCATTTCTCCTTTTATAAACCCGCGTGTCTCCGGACTGCGCTGCGCCGCTATTTATATTTTCTAACGCGATTTTCTAAACTATAAAGTGGACCGAGAATAAACTGGACTTAAATCAGGGTCCAGACATGCAAAAGCAAACTGTGGAAAAACATGAAAATAAATACGAGACCCCACAAACAAAGCAATGAATCGTCCCGTCTTTTCCCCTTCTCTCTTAGCTCTCGTGTTTTTCTTCGGGGGGGTAAAAAAATACACCGAATAAGTACGATGTATTTGCACTCATGGGTCACTTGGCAAACGCGGACGCGGACGCGTAGAGCCAGGCGTAAAGAATGCGTTCTGGGATTCTGCTAAATCCACCGTAATTCTAATCCGCGTAGCAACAGGGCGGCATTTAAACGCGCGCGTATGCACGCGGTATTTCGCACGGGAGGGTATTATACGGCGGGATTTTTGCAACTTCCATCAGTGTGCGGCGTGAGCGCGCGCGCGCGCGCGCGAGCATGCTGCACAGAGAACAGGACTGGTAAGTCATCCCATGCAAAAGGCGACGTCAGGCGATGCCCCCGACTCGGCAAACATTCGCCGAGTCGTGACAAATGCCGCGTCGTGCGAACGAGGCGGCGTTCGACGAGGTCTCTAATTGGAATTGGTGACAATGGCGACAAAAATTCACACGTACGCTATACACGCGGCGCGTGGTCGCATTCGTTTCAAATGTTTGGCAAAAGGAGAACGTCCCGGGCGCTCGCATTAATGCAGGCGAAGTCACGCGAAACCAGACCGACCGACGCAACTTTCTCGACACATTGTAGAGGCAGACAGTCGCGAAGGAGGCGAAGGTAAACGTCACGAGGCATGCCGCGCGGCGAATCGCCTTATTGCGGGACACACACATGCACGTGGAGAAGGGTGCTCAACCTGGGGATCCTTTCGGCAGTTCGAGCTCTTTCCTCTTTATTTATTAACGGCCGTGTGTCGCGTTAGCAGCGAGAAACGAGCGATTTCAATCGCGCCACGGAGGATTGAGGAAAGAACCGGCATTGCAAAATCGTGTTCGTCTTTAGATTCGGATTATTCCCCAGACTGAGAACTCTCCTCTACTTGAAGAGAAGGCAGACAGGAAAGCAGAGCGAGCCCAGTGAGCATCCATCTGTTCCCAGACGCGACTTACCAGCAAGAGCATGTATTTCGCATCCTTTTTCAACAGCACGCTCGCAATCTCGTCGGTGTAATAAACCTCGTCCACGGCGTACCGTTCCTTGAAGTCGTCCAGAGTGTGCAGCTTGCCCTGCCAAATCGCATACTCGGGTGATAAACGCGGCACGAAGAGGAGCGAGGTACCTTTCGCGAGTTCGATTGCGCCGTAACAGCCCGGCTCCTCCACGCCGAAGGCCCATTGGAAGTACGACTCCTGATAAAGAGAACAAATAAAGCTATATACGAGCTGCGAAAGAGTACGGAAGTCGCAATAGCGACGTTGAATAATAGAGGGGGCTGCGAAAGAAGAACGTCGCGTAATAATAGCGGCGCGATATCGTCTAACGTATCTTAAAATAACTAGTTCTGGAAATAGTATACGCATGACAGTATATCACTATATCTAATGTATACAAATACTTTCGTTGCAGTACACGCAGTACTAATAAACACACGTAGAAACTGTGTTACGTCATGTTGTAAAAATAAATAAAGAGCCCGTCGAGATAACAACAGAATAATGAAGAGTGCAAAGGACACGCATACGCGATGTAAAACGTTTCTCTTTTATTACAAAATCGATGAACCGCTTGCGTAATCGAGGTGAAGAACGGCGTTCGTTGAGAACGGTCCGCGGCGCGATATTTACGACCATTTCCGCGCGTCCCTGTTCTTACAGGCGAGTTCCATTCTCGAAGTCGCGAATGCCGCGATATTTATTCCTCCCCGGTTTCCTCGTGCAAAATAGGTCATCACGCGATATTACGTGAGGGAATCGATGCTGCCTCGATTGGCACACACGCCGAGTATTCCGACCATGTTTGAGAAGATACGCTGATATATCGCGCCGAGGGCCACGTCATCGAGTCGGTGCCCAGGTACAGTCGTCGAGTCCCGGTCGTCAAGGAGATTTTTCTCGACTTCTAATAGAGGCGACGTTTCGCAATCGTGCGAAGCGAAGTCCTGGCGCGTCGGTCTCCTTTACGGACGAGGGATACGGATCGCCGGCTACGGCGAACGGAATTTCTCTCTGCTTTCAATAGCCGACGCTCTTTTGTGTTCGTCTCTTCCTTTTTTTTTCTTATCTTGAACGCGATAAAAATACTGCAACGGATACTCCGCGGCGATCTCACGCCCGGCCGGGTCTCGAATTCCCTCGGAGGCATCGAAAAAGCTTGTACAGGAAACAGGATCACGCGAGTGTGTCCGCTGAGTGTGGCCGCCTCGACGCTTCCCCTTCGTCCGTGATGGCCGAAGCGGAAATGCCGTTCCTGGTTTCCACCGTTCGGTAGCCGTTTTTAAACCAGCTACCAACGGCGGTCGAACCGCCGAGGTCGCGTCGCATAAAGACATCTTTGAAGATCTTTCCAGATTTTTTCCATATTGGTAAATATGTTCAGACCGTCCCGGGAGACCCAGGTCAAAAAATTTTTTGTTCCTAGAATTAACAACAGTGGAACTAAGTTTAAAAAAAAAAAACTTTTACTGAGAAATGGACAACATTATTTATCTCAGGATCACGAAGTGACATATCGTGTTTTCAATGTTTTCATTTTGATTAAATCTTCCTCTCATGTTTATACTAGCTGGCTGAACCTACATTCGTTCCAATTAATTTGTCGACAGAAGTAACATTTTATTTCCTACTTTGGACTCATGTAAATAATAATTTTTACTTGCAAGTAAAAGTTTTTTTTGAATGAAATTTTACTCGTGAACTTTATTAGTGGACTGTTGAACAAACGGAACGATTCAGGGTTAAAACGAAAAAAGTGTACATAGAAAGGGGAAGAGAGAGAGAGAGAGAGAAAAAAAAGAAATGCGGCAGGTGCAGCTGCGAGGAGAGAACGGATCTACTATGTATACCTGACGCTACAATATCGCATCTTTAGCGACATTGGCGGAGGTAGCATCGCTGCCGCCGTTGCCGTCGTCGTCGTCGTGAGTTCCGAAAAATCCGGCAGATCGGAATTCCAAGGGTGAAGCGATGAGAAATGAGCCGAGCGAGTCCGTGCGAGTCGTAACGCGTTGCGCCTTGTTGTGTTTGGGTTCAAGAGCTGGGACCATCTCACTCTCTCCGTCTCCCGGTCGCTCTCGGGCTCTCATTTCCGTCCGATGCTGAGAGAGAGAGAGAGAGAGAGAGAGAGAGAAAAAGAGACGGGACGGGAGACGAGGGAATGAGAGAGTGAGAGAGCATCTTGAGAACGATCAGCCATCAGGTCAACGCGCTCTCGGCACAGCCAGCAGGTATTATCTTAAAGAAGTTCTGTATATAGATATACACACAGCCACGATAGCGCGGTGTTCTTGCGAGCACACTAGCAAGGATAATATCTATTGCCTTACCGCAGCTGTTTTATACAAGGCGTTAACGAACGATTTTTATGAACTTTATTCGCGAATTTTTTTCGCGTTCGCGCCCTGTGTATAAAATATTTCTAAAAATTAAAATAATTTCTGTCCCCCCCCTCTCTCTCTCTCTCAAGCTAAAGTATTTTTAAAAATTATGCCATTTTACTAATTTACTGAATGATTTAACACAACTATTATCGTTATTATCGCTGGTTCGCCAAGAGTGGCGCATGTACCGGGCGGACAGCCAGAAACGCATCGAGGAGAAGACGACGACGACAACGACGACGGATTAATGCACATCTGCATTAAAAAAGAATCCGGCGACGAAAGGGTCCCGTATTGATCGCAACATCGCGCAACAATAGCACCGCGATATCGAATTCAGCACGAGCACGTCGTTTTAACTGTCGAGCGAGCGAGGCGAGAGGCGAGCGTTGTGCACAAAGAAATGAGCGGCCCGCTATTCGCCAAATTAGAAACTGGAACACCACCTTGATTGCATACATACGCGATGCTCCGCAGAAACACCGGATGTACTATGTATGTGTATATAGTCGCGGATCCAACAACAAATTTTCCATCGTTTCTCCCCTACAGAAATTTCGCGAGACCTGTCATCGTCCGAGTTTCTAATCTTCGTCATTAGGCATTCTTAAAATAAAATCACAGATTACATTTCTCTGTTAAAACTACTGGAACTGATACTTGAAAGTGAGTAGAGATGGAGGTATACGTTTCTCTCTAAGCTCATAAACCCAGCGCAAACGTCGCCTGGGAAGATCAACAATGACGCAAGCGTAGCACAAATTCGAACCGGTCTGGAACATCTCGAGATAATGTTCACGCTGTAAAGACCATAGCGCATTGGAAAATAAAAAAAACCGGTAGACACAGGAAGTGAATTCTCCAGTCGCGATCGAACGCTCTTCTCGAGAATTTGCTTCGCTTAAGTTGTTTTTTTTTTTTTCATCACGGTCTTAAATCGCAAAGATACTATCTAATTTGACTTTACCGCGTTTATGATTTCTATGTTTCCTTCGTCAAAATTTACCGTACAAATTTACCGTAAGGCAAAACAATCTCGTAAGCGAGAAGCAATTTGGGTCGCGAATTATATAGCCACGCTTAACTCTGAACATGCTGAACGTGTATGATTATCCATCAATGATAAACATTGAACGCAACATACATATCAGATTAAAACATACGCGCGCGCACATCCAATTGGATTGCATATCCAACATGAATAACGCAGTCTCATGAATTGCATGTTAGCGGTTTGTGAATTAAAGAGTAAATTTATACACGTGAAATGACAAACAGGCACTGGAGCGAGATGTTAACCGAGAGTAACAATAGCCGTAATCTCGACGAACAAAATTCTGACCAATATAAGCGGTTTGCACCACCTGTATACGCGCACAAAGAGATCGCTCGCTGAGCGAGTCGCATACAATCGACTCTCGAGTTCCACCGTATAAATATTTCACATGGGAACACAGCCAGAATATAATTTAACATATATGCACCTGGCACGCTGAGCGAAAATTTTTTCTCATTTATATCTCCTCGTAGAAATTAATAAAGTACGAGTTGAAAGACGGAGAACGACGTGAAATGTAAATATAAATGGAAGATGAAAATATATACAAATAAACAGAAAATGTACGTGCGTGTTAAATATAGCTAAATTAAGTTTATATAATAGCGTGGCCGGGAAATAGATGGAGCAAGATTTTACCCTTTGCGGCCCACTGAAAAATTCACGGTCAATCGCTAAACAAAGCCGCGCGGTACGAGCGGCTTTGGAGCATGGACGGATGAACGGAGAGGCGGCCGTGCGTTTTTGTTGAGAGTGCCGTCCGAACGGTACCCTCACAGTTCTAGTAAAGCGGGTTTTAAAGGCAATCTGCCAGAGCGTCCGTCTGCGCGCCAGGAGCGTGTCTCGACCGGATCGTCGCTCGTCGCGTCGATTTTCGGCGACTCGCGCTTTGACGAGAACGTGTTTTCGGCGATGTAAATGCAGCGGAACTCCATCTACCAGAATAATCCGGTGAGGCGGTTAGTTATCCATGTGAAGCGACAGTTCATAAAGTTCGAAACAGAGCTACCTCGACAGAGATTTCCACGTCATTCCAATCTGCCGCATTATTATCGCCACGGTATATTGTTTTATCGTGGAAAATTAAATTGATCTCAGGAAATGTGAGAGTTCAACGGAAAAGCAACAAGCGCAAGGTGACTGCGTTGTACACAATTAATAGTAGATAATAAAGCAAAGTAAAATATCACGCTGAAGTCATATGCGAAACATGCAGTTTTATTTTGTAAAAATACCACGATACTTATCGCGCGATAAAACACACCAGATAATAATATTTGATTTTAGCAGTTCGTAAAATTATCTAATATCACTCGGGCGATGCACGAGTGAGTCTCAAAAAAAAAAATTTTATCACGATAAATTACAAACAAGTTTTTGCAAGCTAACGCAAACGCTTCTCTCTTAGCGTTTAATTGATTTTATCACCGCTCGTTTTCCTCGGTATGCTATTAGCTTCGTGCTACGTTTCAACGTGCAACAAGCATGCTCTAATAATAAAAATGTATTAAAGTTTTTCTCTTTGATATAATTATTCGAACGTTAATTGAAATCATGAATGAAATTATGAATGAAATTATTCGAATGTATTTTCACGCAGTTTTAACCAACTCCAATCATAAACTTTCGCAAGCGCGTGTGTACACTCATCGTGCCAATCTTATCGATGACTAATTTATCAACATGCGTTCTGTACCAGTCGCAGTCATATGGCGATAAACAATCCGAGTTCGACGAATACAATTCGTAATTGTATTCGCGCGGCTTTATAAATCTCTCTGATCAAAATAATTAACTCTCTCACACATTAATGGCGTTGAATACCTTACGGCGAAGTTCAATTGTCTTTACGGTCGTTACTATGGCAGGGACACGCAACAAATAGCCGTAAAAGTCAGACCGCGTAATTGCGGTTGAGTTTTCGGAATTCCCCTGTGAGCCACGACTTTGCTTTTTACACAGTGCTTCTGCAAGATCATGGCGAGATCATGGCGAGATCACGGCGAGGAAAAACGATCTCTTCTTCTTCTTGATCACGGTTCACACGAGTCTCATGTCCGATCGTGAGCGATCGTATAAAGCCTGATAATATGATTAAATTATTCTTTTACGAACAAATTTTTTTATGAAAAAGATTGTTCCCGGTAAAACTGCCAAATTTCGGAAACTTTCGCATCTAAACTCGCATTCAGATGAATAAATTAGGATCTGATATTGTATATATATTGTCTTCTTAAAATAGAAAAAAACCTTTTTTGCGCGTCTTGCCTGAAAAATTTGGATCTTACGCATACTTACTGGCGTTTTGAGTCAATTACACATTTCTACCGATCTAACAAAGGGCATGATATAACAGCATGTGAGTACGCACCTGTCTAAAAGGCCAATTTATGTCCGTGTCGTTGAAGGGAACCTCCACTCCACCTTGAAGAATGACGTAAAAGTCCGGGAGAGGATGAACCCTTCCAGTCTTCGTTTGGAGACGCGTGACGAGTCGCTGGCGATTCTTGTGAAAAAGGGACATGGGCACTTTCAGGGTTTCACCATGCCGCCAAAAGTGAGGCCTAAAATTACAACTTTTACATTAGCGAATATTACATTATCATGAGGGGAAAAAAAAACAATCGCGTTTAATCGATTACGTTAATAAGAAATAGAAACAATAAATATTCCAATATACGTATTTAAACATTAGTGTTATCCTAAACATTATTATTGAAAATCGCGAATAAAGCTAAGCCTCTGACGTTACGATACGCTGTTCAAATAATTGCTTTGTTCCCGATAATATCGCGAAAACTTTCTAAAAAGAAAGTAGCCACGCGCCTATTGCTCTGCCCGGCGTTTGACTCATCAATGTATCTACTTCTACAACCTTAGAACACTAATATTTAGGTGACTCATAAGAGTTACATCACAAAATTGATAAAGCGTGCGCGTCATCGTGTGAATAAGAAATACCTAGACAAAAAAATGTCAAAGCAAACGCATGATGAAACCGACAATAGAATTGACGCACAAAAAAATACTTTACGTACTGCCTTAATCCTGATTTTGTGCGCTTCTCGAGATCTTCCTTGCGCGGATTTGTCGCGGCTGCGATTTGAATGAATCTCGAGTAAAGACGACCGGATGCGCGAAAGGGTGAAAAGGCACGTAGAAGAAAACAGCCGTTGGCCATACTACTTCTAATTAGCGTGTTCGCGTATTTAGAAATAATCCATAACTGGAAACGTCTATTTGTCGGTTGCCAGAATTTTTTGAAAGAATACATTACTCGTTCTTAATTTAAAATGTTAATAACAATCCATATATGACCTCGGGATTTTTCAAAGAAAAATTTACATCCAAATTACTGAATGTAGATTTCAGTGACGAGAGAACGGAAGCCTCTTCGTGATCGCCTGTAATAAGATCGCGCGTTGTAAGACAACGTGCTCGATATTCGGCGGCTAGTAATTACACAGCACGGGCATAAATAGAACACTCGAGACGCGAAGTCTATTCTCACGAAAGGAACGAGCGAGCGAGAGAGAAAAGTGGTTTCGTGCGCGCGGCCTCGCGTATAACGTATTCGGTTTGTATTTTAAGCCGTGTCATTGGACGACTCGCGCCTCTTGACTGACACAATTCTTGTTCTACTATATATCCCCTCGAGACGAAACGGCGTGACGGCACCGCACAGGAAACTCGAAGCGCGCTAACGAGCTACACGCGCGCTAATGTGTACCACCGTGTATACGCTATACTCAACCCTCTGCAACCCCCGTGCAGCCGCCGTCACCGCCGCGCTTTTGAAGCTTCCCTAAATTCCGCGCGCATACTAATTTAGCCGCGCAGGAACGCGCGTCACTTTTAATGTCTACGCGAAAATTTATATTTAACCTGGCAGTGACAACCAAAGAACGAGAATGAGAAAGAGAAAAAGGGTGAGAGAGGAAGGAAAAGTCATGTGTGAAAAGTTGTGTAACATTATACAACTTTGAGTCTTGATGAGAATAAATAACGCATGTAAACGAGAGAAACTTTTACATTATAAATCACTCAAGTATTTTCATCTCTATTAAGAATTTAAATAACATCGGATGTTATGTAGAGGGGAAGAAAGAAAGAAATGGAGAGGTGCTGCTTGACATTGGACGATGCGTTCTGGTCACATGAAAGCAGTGAAAGCATCAGCGCGGATCGGATGTATGTATGTACATACGATCGGTGTCGTCTGTTAGCTTCACGCATAAACACTGCCGTCGACTTTCCTCGAGTTTATGTACGCGAAATACGCCGCAAAACACGACCGATATAAACATTCCGTGTGAACGTTCTCGAAGTAAAACATTCTAGACATAATAATCGCGAGTCCATAATCATACGTCGATTATTAATACCCCTAAGACGCAAGTCCGAGTTAATTTGGGCATATCTCAACTCGGGCATACGTATGTACACATCTGATGAGTATGGGTGCGAGACGAACGGCTCGTCAGGAATGTTTAATTATGTTTACTCTATTATCAGTAATGTAACTAAAAAGATGTACAATGTTTGATGAGTGCATTGTTACAGAGTTAATTTACTAATAAAATATCTTTAATCTAATATTTGTGCTTTTTATCCTCAAAAGTGAAATTCTTATACATAATTATATTGAATTATTAATTTCAATGGATAGAAAATGATTTTTTTGTCATTTTGTTGCGACAAACCGTGCATTAATCTCGTTCTGTCTGATGGACTGTGTAAATAAAAATCGCGTCGCAATATTGAGCAGACGTACGTGTCTGATACGAACTTCGCAAAACGTAAGGTAAACCGCGCGTGAACCGAATTCCTCAGACTGAATAATCAACCGATAATTTTCGTTCCACGAATTGTAATTTTCCGAAATACAATGTCGTATTACATTATATGCGAGACGTTACGTCATCCTTCCAACTAAAGAGGAAAAATCGACGTGATTATCTAATCACGACGAGCAAAAAGATTACGTCGTTTTCCTTGACGGATGCCGCGATTTGCCTCACGTCGTTTTGCTCGACGTGTTGCAACCATCTTGTAGCTTTTAACCACGTTATAATCGTTCTCTTATCGCGGGACGTGCCATGCAGACAGACAAATAACAGCATTGTTTATCGACGAAAAGGACGGAACGCATCGACTTAACGTTACGTAAAAAAAATGTCGACATTGAAAAAACACGGCGCGCGAGCTCGAAATTTAGGGGCCTGCAATGCAAACAATGCCGATAACGGCCCGTCATTTTGTTTACCGTAAATGTGATACGACGTACGTGATATATCACATGACCTGGGTATAAAAAGAAACAAGTAGATAGTGCCTTGAACCTCGGTTCTACTCCAGTTACGTCATCGAGAAACAGACTGGAGCAGGAGCGATTCGGAAGCTTTCTGTTCCGAAGCTTTTGGAGCAACGACAGATACTCGATAATTGTATTAATAATAGTTGCTTTCCATTTACACTTAAGTGATCTGAGTCACTCGGTTATGCGAGTATTTTATACTCAGGTAAGATACGTAATTTTGCACTTACCTGCTTATTTTGGTGACAAAGCTATCGCATAACAATACAGATTCATTTAGCCTCACTTTTAATGTGAGTCTATTAGATTTTTTAAATCACACGGTTTCGATTGTGGATAAAAACTCAGTTGAATCTCACTTGCCAGCATGCAAAAAGAACGTGCATTCAAGGGAGTTATGACGTCACAAGTGAGAATTATCTGAGTTTTGGTGTAAATGGAAAGCAACTAATAACAGAAAGAAAAGAACCGCGCGATGAAAAGAAAACGATGGAAAAGTTTCCCAGCGATTTGACAAAATTACTTTGAAATCTGTGGGATTCTGTTTTTTGGGGAAGCGAGATACGGGACGCGTTAAGTTCGAATCGGTGTGTGACCGATACTATAAATAATCCGCAGGAAAGTTAAACGCTGATTTCGCGGAAACCGTTATGTAAAGAATGCAAAAAAAAAAGAAGAGAAGAGCCGTGTGTATATTTTTAAGAGAGGCCACGCGCTTCCCGCGTCGCTCGCTCGCTCGCTCGCGCGAAACGGCCGGCTGCACGTGCTTAGCATAATTACGAACAATGCGAACGTAAACAACGTGCCATTAAAGTCCGCACGCAAGTCGGGCACAACCTAGAAACCTTCTTAAGCGGTCGTCGTGTTTTCTACGAAGAGCTCCGGCTCCCCGCGAAATAAAGACGCGTCACGTCAACCGTCAACAAGCGCGGCTAGCTATACACGCGTCCAATTACATTTTTCTCATGAAAATGGAACGTGTATTAATAAAACAAAAGATAATAATAAAACAAAATAATTGAGGGCTGCTCTGGCAGTTAGGGTGCGTTAGGAGGGGCTTTCTATTATCGCCAATTTTGCATCGTTCCATCTTTATCGCTCGTTAGATGCAAAACAAGGATAGAAAATAACGCAATAGCGATAATAGCGCGCTCCCCGAGAGCACAGCCTTTGTAACAGTTCACTGCCGCATTGCTGTAAGGGTTGAATCAATCACCATGAAGATACCTTCAATTATTTTGACCTACTGTACGTTGCTAGCCGCGAGGCCTTCGTAACAAGTCCGTTGGCCCAACCCGTCGTCATCTCATGCGAACACTGTTATCAAACAATCCAAAGGTCAACGCGATCCTAACGGAACGCGGCTAGCTAGAGCCTCGACGCATAAATAACGCATAACCTCGAAAAGAGGCATGCGCGCCAAGCCGCGGGCTCGGCAATTCCCGATTTCGCAATTCGATCCGCGACCTATTCGCGCGAGCATTCTCCGTCGACGTCCGACCGATCGCCCGGGTTGGGAAATCGCCGTGAACGCGCTCGCTCATCACGTGTCTCGAAACCGACGTGATTTCGAAAGTTCGTGCCGCAAACACGTAGGCAGAGATCGCTCCGATCTGTCGCGAGCAACGAGGGTCGGTCTCGGCGAGGTGAACCCCTGGAAGACACTTCGCGAGCCGCGAATGGACACCCTCGCGCGCAATTAAATTCCACGAGGGACAATGACTCGGCGAAAATACACGAGTCAGTGATATACGTACGCCATGTTGCACGATGGCGAAACCTCTTTGCGTTCCACGACAAAGTCCTTCTCGCTGTCCAACGACGGGGTCGACCCGTCGGTAGACTCGAAACTGTCCGAGTCGGCCATTAGAATCAGACGGAATCAGACGGTCCAGGTGGTCACTGCGCTGGCCTACTGTGCCTCGTGTTGTCCTTATACGCAGATCGCCCGTATCAGCTTCGCTATCGCACGCGGCACAACGATACAACGACGACGACGACGTCGCGCGCAGCTGACAGACCGGCTGATCGGCGCGCGCAGTCACGTGGTGTCGCGCGCGGCAGCCGCGGCACGTGGCGGCCCGACGCCGGCCGAACGCGCCCGAGGCGCGCCGCGTCGCGAGCGCGGCCCGATGACGCGTTTTGACGCAACGCCCGCGTCGCCCGCTGAACAAAACGCCGACCCGGCGTTTACCGATTTTTCCGAAGGCGTCTATAGACTGCAAACCGCCGCATTATGACGAAAACCATTCCTCGTCGAAGCAGGCTCGATTTGGGTTAACGAAAAGCAAAACGAATGACGAACGAAAAAATGACCCCTCGTATAATTTAACATTTAGAGAATCTAGCTTGGCTTGTAAAAAAAAAGACAAAATAAATAATTATATGTATAAAATTATATTCTTGTAACTTAATGTTCAGATTCTCTAACGAGAAACGTATGCGCAAACTCTGCTCTAACAGAAAGGCTGCAAATTGATTGGCTAAGAAAGACATATGTATTATGTATGCATGTATATACACTCTGTACATTTTGTGGAGAAAACTTTTTGTAGGTAGATACTGAGAACTCGGAAGTTTATTCGACTCGAAAGTATTCTCGTATTCCTGTTCAATTAATCAATATGTGTATATTCCGTCATTCAATGTTAAATATCAAAGGATGAAATTTAAACCAATAAGAGTTCTAATACTTTTACTTTAACACAAAATAGTATTATTTTAACTGTTGTTTTAGTCAAGTACACATATTTTTAGCAGGAGCAGTGGCGATCTATAGGAATGATTAAAAACGACTCAAATTCAGTATATAATTTGACCCTATTATTTAACACAGCGCTTATCTATTCATTCCTATCGCCGGAAGGCGAGCATCTTAACGAGTACGTGCTGTTTCGCGCATTTTTTTTCTATCTCTCCTTTCCAACTGGGTCGCTCGCTATCTCGCCCCGAAATCTGTGTCAACATACGGACAAGGCCGATATACGTTATTAGACGAATTGTTGACTTACGGCCGCGCGCGCCGTTAACTCCGCAACGATCAGAGAATCAGCGGAGAGAAGATCGCTATCGAGAGCCCGTTGTTCCACAATCTTGGGGTACAGTGGAAAAATAATATGGACCCGTCCGGCGAGGACGCGCCGATAAGGGAAATCTCAAGTACATCACCGCGATTCATGAAAACATCGCGTGATGCTGTTAATATCGATAATGACGAGTGCGAGTCAATTTGTCGCGTTATCTCGTGCATTTCGGAGCTGACGTAACGCCGCAGTCGACGCACACGGTGTTTCTCTTCTGCGACCGCGGATTGAACCGAGAGGCGAAGCGAAACACCGATGATTCATTACGAGTCTGATTCACACGTGTATCGCCGAACGTGTTTCCGGTTGTGTGTCTCGGTCTCCCTTCCCCTTTTATTCGAATCATACAGGAATCTATAAAGACATTTGTCGAAACGCGCGATTTTATTTCGTCGCGCGCCGTTTCTTTCCTTCGAGAACGTGTATATATCGCCGTGCAAAAAACTGCGACGCGACGCGCGACGCTGTCTCGCGCGTACATTTATAGCGCAAGGTTTTCTTTCGAACTCTAGCCGATGTGGGATCCTATTCTCAGTTTACCAACGACACAGAGGCCCGAAGGCCTTGCTCTCGAAGGTCGCGCGAGCGTTACACGTATTATATAAGGCGCTATTTGCCAACGCGAAACGTGATAAAAACCGTCGTCGCCGGCAGCGAAATCAATTAAACGAATTAAACAAATTGATATAGGACTGAAGATTTCTCGCCCCACTTCGAAGTGGGAAAAAAAATCCAAGATAAATGGAGATTTATTGATTGCTTCGGGCAATCGCGTGCTACTTACCTACCGTTACTTTTATCAGCCGCTGGGACGCTTCGAAACAACGAGGAATCAATTCCTTCTCGCTTAATTTTATTTTTTATCAGAGCCTCGAGGGGGACGTCCCCATTTTATCGTACAGATAATTAAAATTACGTATACTAATAACGCGATGGAGTGTGTACATATCGAATACATCCAGGCCGTCGCGCATTTCCGAAAGATCGGCCGAAGATCCGAGAAAGAGAGTGTGTTCGCGTGAAACGTTGCGATACTCCGATAAGGACGGGTGATATCAAACGTACCGCCGCGCTAAAAATATCACGCTACGATAGCACGAAATCGCGAAATTCGGTCGACCGCTTGCGTGCCTCGTTTTCGGAAGCTCTCCTCGCGTTATCGTTTAATGGATTTACACGTAACCGCGTCCGTTCTCTCTCCGCGCACGAGCATTTCTATATTAACGTAAAATTAACATCTGTGTCATGCACGCGCGGACGCGCAACGCCAGATGGTGGACAAACGTATACACAATATAAATGGACTTTCTTGAATTGGGTCAGGCTGCGCCAAGTTTTCCGCCGTTTATTTTCGCGCGCCGGCCGGTAAAGCTGGATGCACAATGAAAAGCACAGACAACAGGGAAACAGGCAATGGGAACAGGAATTTCCGACGCGTTGGATTTCTATTCTCTGTTGCCCGTGTATCTGACCGATCCACAGTGATTTTGATTTTAGCTGCGATTGGTTAGGTACGGGCAATAGAGAATAGACATCCAACGCGTTGGAAATTCTCTGTTCCCATTGCCCGTTCCTGTTGCCTGTGTTTGTCATTGTGCATCCAGCTTAACGTATACTTCGATTACGCGATAGCCGAACGACAAATACAATTACATTCGGGAAAGTCCTAATTGCATAAGCGGGGAGAGAAACGTACGATTTCCACCGCCGCCGTAATGAGACGGGATCGTTGCGACAGGTCGCGCCCGCTGACGAAAACGGGTCGCTTCGTTAGCTAAGACCGCGCAATCGGCCGCAATTCCGGCCGAGTATAACGCGTACGCGCGGAGTCACTTACTGGACTCGATTTATTCGACTTCTCACGCGTTGCCGCAAACACCGAGAAATGTCGCCAGTCATTCGATCAAAGTCTCCGGGCGACGGGCGAGAACGGTGACTCGCGAAAAAGCCATCAGCCGACTCTTAACAATCTCCGCTTTCGCGTCCGCGTCTCGCGATGACATTTGACTTTTCTCGGGGTCAAGTTCGCTCATCGTTAATCCCTCCGACTTTTAGGCCCAGTCTCACAAGTGTCGGTTAACTTTTAATCTTAGATTAACTCACTCTTCGTCTCTTTCGAATGCCCATCTCTACCAATGTAGATTAACTTCTAATCTCGGTTTAACTTACTTTCTATCTTTTTCTAACTTTTAGAACTAGGAAAAGATGACAGGTAAGTTAAACCAAGATCAAAATTAACCTGCGTTGATAGAAATGGACATAAGGGGGACGTTAGAAGGAGACGAAGAGTGAGTTGATCTAAGATTAAAAGTTAACCGACACTTGTGAAACTGGGCCTAAAGTGCTGCGAAAAAAGCACCTGCAATATATATATAGTACATGTTTCGGATGGCAAACACCTGACTTCGAGAATTATCAGAGCAACGAAAAAAGAAATTATCCTTAAGGATAATTATCCTTAAGAAATTATCCAATTGGAATCTGCTTAATATAAAAAAAAGATTGTACGTTATGCTATTCTATTACGAAAGAATTGAGATGTTAGAAAGTAAGGAAGCGGACGCGTCGAATGATATGTGCGATTCACGGCGAAATTAAAAAATCCCAAGACTCGAAATAATGAACTGTCGTTTCATTACGCAACGCGACGAAACAATTGCGTCGCGTTACGTGCCGATGAAGCAGCTGCCGCCGTTAATTTCTGTAAGCGGCCAATTATTAAACGACCTGCCTCATGCCTGAAATTGATGGCCGACCCTTTTCCCTCCCTCTCTCTCTCTCTACCGAACTGTCGGTTTCAGGTCAGAGGCATCGGGCAAAATGTGGCTCGTAAAAACGCACCGGGTATCGTTCTACATCCGTTCTAGGACCTTTAAGAGCCATAATTTACCGCTGCGTTATTACGGTCATTATTGCAGTCGACGCTTTTGCGGAAATTACTGTGAAATGGCACTTGCTCCTATACCAAGGCTCGCTCGCTATGCGCGTCAACGCCGAGAGCTTTCGGTTCCCGCAGCGCGATATTAAAGAATCGGAAGAGGGTGCTCGAGAGACCGGGATACGGATATTAAAACGCTGCGAGGTCTCCGCGATAACAGAATCCGCCCGGAGAAATCCGGACGAGCGTATCGCGGTTTCGCGTAATATCGCGGTCTACTATCAACGCGAGATAGATCGGGCGAGCGTGCGAGTTTTGTTGCTGAAAGCAAATCTTCTAGGAGCTGGCACGTAGAAGCGGCTTTAACGCGCGCCAACGATCAGAAGGCCAGTGAACCGCCGGCTTATACGGGGTGTCCCGTTACCGTACCGCCGTTCCTAACAATGACTTTATTTGACGAAACGTATTAGGTCAATATTGCTCCCCTAGATAAAATTTCACAGGAACTCGCTCTATCTACAAGTATCCTCGAGTATCCTGAAATTCGACCGAAATCTATGCGAGATTAGATCACGTTAAAACGAGATTCTCATCTGTTTACGGTCATCCTGTTTGCGCGCGAGCGGTGGCAAGCCCATGCACCGAGACGTTACGTTAATCGATCCGGCTATTAGCTCGAAAATTTTCCTCGAGCGCGAGCCGAGCGAAGGAGGAACGGTAATGTCGAGACGTCCCGTATAATATCAGCGCGCGCGTATCCACGATGTATTTGTGGCACGCTCCGTCGTCAGACACAGCAGGCAGAACCGTTTGATGTCGACGTTTGATGACGGTGGAAGAGGGAAGCGAGACAGAGGCAGGAATAGTGGAGGAGCAGCGTGGACGATCGGACGGAAAGTTTTCGCGCGGGTCAATAGCGGGTATACGATGCACGCGCAATAAATACATGTACACCGGTATATCTGCATCGAAACTTTGAACTTCTTTATTTTTTTTTTTTTTTCATTTTAATTAAGACTTGTCGGGCATGCGAGCCCGACCGATCACAACGAGATATAGTTTTCCATAATGCACGGTTCTTTAACGACGAACTTAGAAAAGAACGGATAAGGGGGATTGCGTTCGCTCTTAGAAAAAAAAAGAGACGAAAAAAGAGAACGAACGCAACTCTCCCACGCACACGCTCACGCACACGGGCATTCGTCCGTTCCGGAGCTGCGGCAATCCTGACGCAATTCGTTCGCTCCGCTCTCGCAGTAGGTACACGCGGTGTGGTACTAATTGCTAGCTTATCTAATTAGTCGGATAAGGCGGCAAACGTCGTCGAAGATCCCCGACGACGCGAAGCCACGAAACGATTCATCGTTTCTTTCGCCCCCCCCCCCTGTATATTCGCGCTACATACAAGTGTGTCGTTTTTATTGCGTCATTCGTGTGTGGTGCCGCGACCGCGTTTACGCCAACACGTCCACACGATAAAGTCCCGGACGCTGCAGCTGTGACGTCACTCTCGGCGCGCGCCCCCGGGAATAATCGAGGGCTTCTTCGAATTGATCGCGAGATTTTGGAATAGAACGGGCATCTCTCGCGAACGAAGAAATTAATTATGAGCAGCAACGATGTTATCGCGAGGAGTATATAATAGTCCTCTCCGATAATTATGTCAACCCGTGACGTCACAGCTGCCCCGTAAGGGCCCTCGTATTACAGATGCATCTCTCTCTCTTTCTCTCTCCCCTCATCTCTCCACCCGCGCGAAATGAATCACGCGACGCTGGAGCATCATCTCGTCGCGCGAACTCGCGCAACGCACGCATACATGCGCGTTCTTGTACGTGCGGATACAATGTATGTAACATCAACAGCGTGTCTCTCCTCTAGCGATCGATAGCGATAAGTAGCTATGCACTAAAACATGCACAGAGAAAGGGGTATAAAGCTAAACGTATAAACTATTGTACAGATCCACGTTAACGCGCGGTCCTCGTCTGTCTGCTTTTCTTCTTCCCCTCCCGCGCGGATTCTCCCGCAACCGTGGACATTTATCTAAATCTTTGACATTCTTACGTCTCTTCGTTAATACTCCAGCGCGTCAGGATTACCCTAAATGATACAACGATCGGGATGCCGTAGAGATTTTCTCTTTTCATTTCGCAATCCTAAGTGTCGAAAATTTCCGTCAATAAATTTCAAAATTGCTCTAATTCCACGATATACAATTTCATAAATAGACGAAGTCGCGTCCCACCAGCTAAGCAGCGGAACCTCCTCGTTTATACAACGAATCTCGGTCCAATTCTCACGATATACATCCTCGCGAATGTAAACGTCTTCGTGTAAACTGCAAAAGCCCCCGCCGGCCTCTTTCTTCACTCTTTTTTGCTCAACTCCCGCTTTTCGCCGAACGGACGACGCCGACGGTGTCTTGTACCCTTTAGGATTAAGGACGCAGCTGTCGGGGAACTAAACCGAGCCTAAGCTAAGCTATCAATGATCTCGCCTCGCATCGATCGGCTGCAGTCCGCTCGTTGCGCGCATCATGAAAAAATAAATGAGATCACCGTGTCTCTGTGTGTGCCCTCCTCCTCTCTCTCTCTCTCTCCTCGTGGCGATTGTGCCCCTAATACTTCCGCCACGCAACGCAAAGGCATCGTTAATCGTTGATCGGCCGCGGTACGCGGTTTACTCGCTCAAAGTGGACTCGCGTAATCCTGGGGCAGGACCTGATTGTCCTTGTCTAACAGCTTGAGAAACATTTTCGCCGCCTACTCTTTCTCCCTACTCGCACGTGCTATAAATTTTATATCTATCCTCGTGCGAAGTCTGTGCTACTGCGGCTAGAAAAAAAGTGTCGGATCTGAAAATTTGAGAAACCCTGCACTACTGAAATTAATTCGCGAACAACGCGAAGAGATCTTCCTCGATTTAACTCTCAGACTTTTTTCTTTCTTTGGAAAGCCACGACGACGACGACGACGACGATTCGCTTTCGTCGCGCTCGGTGACGCTCTGGGTTTCTTTGCGGGTGGCATTCCGATTCTAACGGAAAGTGTCCATTTATAGAACGACAGAACGTCGACGCGTCGTTCTCGTGCGTCGCACGAGATAACGATTCAGCGCTGTAAATCGATAAGCGAGCGAAACTCGTCGCTTAACTCACAGATAACTTGGCGGTAGGATCTTGAGGCGGGGACGTTACGTACCGTGCTTCGAGGATTAAAAAGTTCCCGCAATACTTGCGTAGTTCCCGTTCTTCGAATTCGAACGGCAAACTCACGTTTAATGATGCAGTCTCAAGAGGGAGGCTGTCACATAATAATTACAAACTAATTAACAGCCATTGTTTTGTGGTACTTGGGTCTCCGAAGCGCGCTGTGAAGACTCTTTTTTTTTCTTTATTATGCCAGAATACGGCCGTTATCTCTAGAGATTAAACTGTAAATTCTTCGGTGCCACTCGCAAACAAACTCCAATTACGTAAAGCAAACAATTGCACTACTAAACAAATACAATTGTGGTAAAACTTTATTAGATCTTTCTTTCTTCGTTCAGTGCTATATAAGACAATGATCAGTGTCTCGCTTACTCAGAATCAATTAACACAGACTTCTTATGCAATTCGACCAAAGATGACGAATAATAACGCGTTAGATTAACTCTTCAAATACCGTACGAACGTGCGTGATTGGCGATAATTTTTAGAGCAACTCGAACGTCGGAAACTTTCCAAGATTTAAGCTCTTTTCATCGAGCGTCGAAAAAAATAATAAATCTCTAACCAGCAGAGCTTCGTTAAATAAAACGTATATAAAATAATATATATCTATATTTTTAATCCCCCATCTATATATATTCGCTCAGTATTTGAAGCGTCAATCGAGAGTTTCGCGACGAATCAGCTGTTACGATACAGGCACTCCACACTGCGATAACGATATCCGATATTTTAATAACTGAGATACCACGCAGTACGACAACAAATTGATATACATTATACATGTTTTCCAGCACTTCAAAATATATACAAAGAATTATGTCGGCCTTGCGTTACGATTATCGCCGGTGATATTACTCAATGATTCGAGATACCGATAATTATCGTTAACACTGTATAGAGTAATGGAAAAGGAACATGTTTTGCGTATGGCTACTGAAACGCGGACGACGCGGCGCGCAGGAAGTCGCGTCAGTCCGGCGTTCGCTCGCCAGGCGATATTTAATTAAATGATCTGAGATACCGCGGCGCGATGTGGAACGGGCGTGCGGGAAAAGGAACATCTCGCGTGCGCATTTCGATACGGTTGATGGGTGCGAGGAGTCGAGCGGCGCGCGGGCCGCGGTCGGCGGCCATAAGTCTTCCACGTAGGTCCGTCCGCGAGCGTCGATACAGCGGCGAGGCTTGGCTGTCGCGCAGCGCCGACAACGCAGCGTATTTACAAACACGGCCATGTAAGGCGAGTTCTCGCCTAATTGCGTCTACACACACGCGGCCACGCACACGCACACTGTCATCGCCGTTGCGTCCCCGGGACTCCCACGCGGGTGAACGAAGGAAAACCTGCTCCCGCCCAGGATCCTTTTATCGTCTTCCTTCTTCAATGGGGATTCCGATCCATTTTTTTCGAGACAATATCCATCCCGAGTCACAAAGGAGGCGTCCGGCGCGGCTCCAGAAAAATCTCGTCCCTTTCAAGAAAGAAAAAGGAAGAGAAGAAAGGAAAAGAACGGGATCGAGGAGGCCGCGGGACAAAGCGGGGTCCCGCTCACAGCGTGAGCGCAGGAACGTCCGTAAAAGTTCTCCCCGGGCGCCGTCGCCGGACGCCTCACAGTTCCAGGGGCTCGTACATCGGCGGTAACGGCTCGTCCTCGGAGTCGTAGAAGTACGGTTTCCTACGGTATCCGCCGCCGCCGCCGCTGGACCGTCGCACATCGTCGTCCTCGTCGTCCACCACGTCGTCCTCGTCCACCTCCGAGCTCGAGAGCTCGTCGAGGTTCTCCTGCAGCCTCTTGACCGCCTCCTTGATGAGGCCGCCCTCGCGCAGCAGCTCCTGGAGCACCTCGTACGGGTCGTCGTCCACTCTGCTTCTCTCGCTCCTCTTTAGATGGTTGTGATAATGGTGGTGATGGTGGTGGTGATGATGACCGGCGATCACGTGATGCTGCTGCTGTTGCTGTTGCTGCTGCTGCTGCTGGCCGTTGGACCGCAGACCGCAGACTTCGCAGCCGGCAGCCGGATCCGCCCAGGAACGCGCCGGCACCCGGTACGGCGACGGCCGGCTGTTCTTGTGGCTGATGCTGGACTTGGCCTTCAGGCTGGACAGCCGTAGGTTCTCCTTGATCTGCGACACCAGCAGGTCGACGTCGCGCGCCAGGAAGGCGTCCGCCTGCGCCGCGCCGTCCGGCATCACGCCGATCAGATACGTCGTCTCCTCGGCGCTCGGCATCCTCGCGCGTTCGCTCCTCCGTTCACGCTCTCGGCACACGGAGAACGCGATACGAACTACCGAGTCCGTAGTAAACAGACTGTGCAATGGGGACTCTTGGATTCTCCAAAGGCTTTGTGTGAGTGTTTTCGTCCTCTCTCCTTCTGATCCCCGATATGTTGCCGTCTCTCCCTCTCTCTTTCTTCTCACGCTGGTATTTCCGCCTCTCTCTCTCTTACGGTGTGTTTACCTGGGGTCGACAGTCCCCTGCAACTACAATAACACCCAGGCAGAAGGTAGAGGGGGAAGGCGGGGAAAGGAGAGATCGCTGCAGTATCCTTCCAGGAAAACAAAGTTCCTTCTTGTGAACGAGAGAAAAAAAAGAGTCTCAGCGGGGTGCCGTAGACCCCTTTTTCCCACGACGAAGCGATACCACGCCACACGGTTCGTTCCCCGATTAGCGACTCGCGCACTCGACGTCGTCGCCGACACGTCAACAATAATACACAGCGGCGGCGTGTATATATACGAACGGTGTAATCCGCGACACGGGCACGGGCAGGCGCGTCCGTGCGTAATCGGACGGGACGCGCGTGATTCACTGGGCAAATACGCGCGGCGGCGATATCCTCCGTCGCTGCTCCCAGCGCGCCGCCGGCGGGCTCTCTCGCCCGCTCGCTCGCTCGCTTTCTCGAAACGTCCGTCGGCGAAACGTACGACGGGAGACGGGAGTCGCGCGCGTCCAAGCGCGGCTGGCTGTTGAATGAAACGCCCGCGCGAGCAGCCGAGTACGAGCGTGCGGGCTAATCTACGCGCATAAACAAACGCACACGAGCGCGCCGTGCAGCAGCAGCAGCTGCTGCGGGTATACACGCGCACACAGGCACACGGGTCTCCTCTCCACGCTACGCGCTACACCAGCGGCGCATTGTTTTGCTTCCAGGCCGATCGAACGTACATACACACACACATGCACGCACGCACAGTGTCTGCGCCCGAAGCTCTCTCGCTCGCTCTCTCTCTCGCCGAGGATCGGTGCGGCAGGTTGCACAACGCGCGCATACGCTCGTTACACGCACCTACTCCGCTCCGATGAGGTAACGCACTGAGAGGTGGGAGGGGGAAGAGAGAGAAAGAGGAGGCACACGGAGAGAGCGATTATTTTGGCCCGACGGGAAGATGGGGTATCTCGCACGGCGCTCCCGCTTTCGAATCGGATACTCCAGCCGACGTTCCTCGATCCCTTATCTTCTACTTTCCTCTCCGCGCGATTTCCTCTATTTATAAATCTCTCCTATTTTTTTCTTTATCCTGAGGTAGTCTCAATTCTCCACGGCTTGCCTCCGCACACTCCACTCGCGTAATCCACTTGTTACTTGCCGACGGCTCCCGCAGTTTCGATTTAAATGTCAGTCGGAACTCGCCGCTCGCTCCGACCTCGAGGTAGTCTCGGTTACTCCGGTTCTCGGGTTCCACGGTGCCGACCCTCCACGTAACTCGCTCGCCGAATTTGTTCGCCGTTCGAGAAAACGTCCCCGCTTTCTCTCTCTCTCTCTCTCTCTCTCTATGCGCTCCCGGCTCCTTTGTTTATCTGGCGTGACTCGACCGCGCGCGACAAACGTCCGACGGGATCACTTTTGCGCGAGCGGAGCGGAGCGGAGTAGCGCCAGCACGGGCACGGGCACAGGCACAGGCCTCAGCGAGCCACGGAGAGCGAAGAGCGAGCGGCCGCCCGTTCGTCCGCCAGCGCCAGCCATGAACCTTCTACTCTGTTATTATTGTTTTGGTCGGGCGGCGCATGCGCCCGGCCGCTTCCTCGCCGTCCGCCCTCCGCCGCGCCGAGCCGAGCCGAGCCGGTGCCCTTCCCCGTCCGTCCCCGCGCTCGCCGGCTCGTGTAAACAAACCGTTAACTCACGGGTCCCCGGCGAATCGATAATACTCCTCGCCTCGCCGCTACCCCGTTCCGTGTTCTCTCTCTCGCTCGGCCTCCCGCCCTCCCACCGCTCTCCTCGCTCCACGCTCGCCGCGTTCTGTTCGGTTAAGAAAGCGTGCACGCATCGCTGCCGATCGGAAAACGCCTTTGTCGTATATCCGTGGAACACGCCACGGCTGATAAGACGCCTTCGAGACGCGAATTTCATAAACGAAGCGTTTGCTCATGATCCTTTTGTGTGCATACACGCGGATCTCTCATCTCTCTCGGAAGCGTGGCGATTTTGAACGAAATATCGCGAGAAAGAGGGGAAGAGAGCGAGGAGAAGGCCGGAGGGGCAGCACGTCGATGAGAGAACAGGGCAGGAGAGAGGAGAGGGGGACATCGATGCGCGCGGATCAAGGTTACACTCGGGCACCTCCTCTACGTCATCCCTCGTTGTGTTTACACGCGCGTGCGCTCAGCGTGCACGCACACACACGCTCGTCCTTGGGACGAATCATTCATTATCGCGTCCACGTAATGCTCCGAGCGTATTACGTCCACGAAAACTCAGCGGCGCGATCGGGTTTCCCTTCTGATAACTTAAAACAATACACATTAGAAGGGGGGAGACTACCCATACAGGACAGAATAAAAATATGGTTGGTCAAGGCTAAAGAAAGAATTCGATCTAAATTCAAAAGAATTCAATGAATCGAATCTTTAGTTTGTATATTGCACCGAAGTTTTATTTTCGTTTCCTCTACATGTCATTTTATCATTATTTATTTCAGATAGTTTAGAGATAGATATTTAGTATTTGTGTTGAGTAATGTTCAGAGGAAACGAATGGCTTGGTATTTTATCAAGTATTACATTTAATTCTTTTGATTAAAAAAAAATACAAAAATACATGAGTGTTTGGAGTATCGAAATTTCTTATCTTATTCTACACAACTGGTTTGTAATTGGTTAATTTACCGATTCGATTTGCTATCTCCAAAGTGAGACTCATTCGCTTTTTGTTTCGCTTCCTCGTATCTCATTCTTAATGTATCAGGCTTCGCCAAGAACCTCTGCCACAAAATGTCCTTCTCGCGCTCTAGATTGGCGTCCATCCTCTGCGACACGAGAATTATTAGCAAATGTCATATGATTTTCAGGAAATTGATAGATCAGGATATTTATAGCTGTACCATTCGTTCTTTGAATTGATTCCTGATCCTAGTTATTTCTCCTTGCACCTCTTGAACTACCGCGGATGTTTCCTCGCACTTGGAACTTATTTCGTATGAAATTGGCCTGAGGCTGATTGTCGGTCCATTTTGTGTCTCAGCCGTGTAATCTTTATCGATTTCGTTCTCTCTAAATCCACAGAAATATACAAAAATAACGTATCATCGATATACGAGATTAGTACTAATAATACTTACAATTTCTGTAATTTGTCGATTTTATTAGTCAGATATGTTTCCAACATTGATTTCTTCTTCTCCGCGTTGTCGGTTATCAAGTCATTGTATTTTTTCAATGCGGTAGAGAGCGACTCATCTGAGATATCATCACCGAGCATCATGGACATAAATATTTGATTAAATGCATTGTACGTTTTTGGAGATTGCGTCACGAGAGCCGCATACTTGTCCTGTTCTTGCTGCATAACTTCCTACACGTTATATTTTTATTAAAATACATTAAATTAGAAAGAAAATCAATTCACAAAAAATACTAATAAAATTACTAACGCATCTTGCAGAAGAGAGCTTGTATTCCGTGATAATGTAATGACGAGCATCAGCGATGAATTCAGCAACCTCGCGCAGGCAGCGAAATTGCATTTCCATTAACATGCACAGCAAGTCCACATGAACATGTCCATGCTCTCCTGCGAGAGAATGTAAATTCTTGAGGTTCTCGAGACGAGCTTTCCTCCGTTCGAGACGGGCGAGTGCGTCGTTCTTCAAGATCTTTATTGTCTCCGTTTCCGCATATTGCACTACCTCCGGCAACTGTTGGTCCCGCAAAAACTCAACATTCTGCTCCAAGATATCCCTTTTCACGGTTAACGTTTGTATCTCGTCACTGTTCATAAATAATAAGATATACATTTAAGTGTATAGCGTGTTTTTTGTTCTTGTCTCCATGTCCAAACCATAAAACAACACTAATTATTGTAGTATCGATTTAACTTAATGCGAATTTATACTTACTGCAATTTACTATCCCCGGGCACTTTCAAAACTCCACCATTGTAGATATCTTGTACGCATTGTAACATTTCCATGTCAATTTTTTCTTGAACACTAGCATTAATCTGTTCCAATTTAGAATTGGATAAGCTATATAAAAAAAATAACAAATTGTAAACACATTGTTTTTAATAAATCTAAAAAGAACATTTTCGTGTTTACTTACTTTGTCTTACACAAGAACAATTCTTGCATCCTCTCGTCCATCTGCTTGTCCCTGTTGTCACTTATTAGAGATCCGTAATCTGAATCCTCTTCTTGCTCTACCTTGTTGGCACTAGTTCCAAACTGCTTCTTTATGTGAATACCCAGATAGTGATTGTAGAGTTCTATTTGCTTGATAAACAGGTCAACAGGCATTTGTGACCATAACACCGCGCTGCCTTGCTGAAGAAGAAAAAAATAACAATCAGAGTGAGAAAAATTCTTGTAAAACTAGTTACAAAACTTGCGATAGTCACATTCTTAGCCGCATCGGCATACACATTCAGAAGACTCTCGATATCCTTAGAAAACTGACAATTATCTTTATCAAATTCCTTCAGCATAACGCTGCAATCGTCATATGCCTTTTCCGTTTCAATCTGCTCTTTATTCAGCATGATTTCTGCTTCTTCGATGTCGTCATCCAGCTTGTTCTCGACCTCTCTGCAACATAGTCATCTTTCTAAGTGTCTAAGTTATTCAACTAGTACACAGATAGTCCAAGAAAGAAATAAAAAATTTTATAAGAGTCCTTACTTTATAACTTTTATACTGTGTCTCAACGACTGAAGATACTCCTCGTCTTCTCTGCAGCTTTCCTTCAACGCTTCGTATTCCACAAATAGATCCTCCCGACGTGTATCGTCCAGGCTGACAAGCTGCAACAAGTCTGGGCAATCTTTGGTGGCCTCTTCCAACGCGGCGTCCAACACTTCGTCCTTTAACCGCTCGCCCGCGTCTTCCAATGTATTTTTTCTGTAAATAAAAAGTGGAAACTGTGTCAGAAATCCAATCCTACCGCTCTAGTTGACTGTGATTCTTGAAAGAAGCATCTCATACAATTTTATCTCCTCGTTAGAGAGAACATTGGCGCTGCTCACGTTCTTGCAAAACCATTCCAGAAAAGGTTGCGTGCTCGGTTCGTCGCAGATCCTGCTCAAGATCTCGGACGTGGTCCCCGATGACAGATCCGGACGTAGCCCGCGTAGCTTGTTGTAGAGCAATTTACCGGTAATAACGCTCATCTTCCTTTGTTATCAGGCTTCTCGCCTGGCCTTCTCTTTCGACTCTTTCTCGGTTCAGTTTCAGTTAAAGAGTTCCCGATCGTTTCTCACACATCACGTCAGAACTAAACAGCTTCTCCCGCGTCTCGCAGCGTGCTACTTTCAATGGTATTGTGTTTGACAACCGTTTGAATCTTTGCATCCAACCGTATCGGAAGGAATTACGTCGCCAGCGGCCAATCAACTGCAATCAACCTCAACCTCGCGCCATCTCTTTAAATGCTTTCTAATTATCATATTACCCGTAAATATCGAAGATCGGTAAAATCACTTAAGACTCAATCGTCGATAACTACCTCCCTCCTACCTTTCTCCTATATATTCGTTATTTTATTGGTATATATTGAAAAATCGTTACAAAATATCAGAAATAATCAAATAAGAAAAATCACAAATGCTTTAAATAATTTTGAATATTTCAAAAACTTTAAATCGAAATATAAGACATCTTCAAAATTAGACTTCAATAACTACAAACTACAAATATAGTTTCGAATTTGAGTAATCTTAACGGTAGTAAATACTTCGAGAAAATTCGTGATAATTCGAGTGAGAACAGGTAAGAACAGGCAAGAAGAAGGATCTTGCGCGTCGGATAGTGCGATGTACTCGATGTAGAAAGCGCATATGCGGTCAGCTACTAGGCAGCAGAGTAGGGTGATCCAGGCGATGCAGCGTGTTGTGATGCTCGAGATGTCATTCGCTGCATAGTGAGTGGTGGTACTGGTGGACCTGGTGGGCAGGAGAGCGAGAGTGAGAGAGGGAGAGAGGGACTGAGAGAAAGAGGGGAGAGAGACAGAGACGGAGAGAGATTCGGATTGGAGATATTTTTCTTCTGCGAGCGGGTATTTGTGTGAGAGAAGAAAGACTAGAAGAGGAAAATCTTCCCGAGCTCGTGGTAGCCACGATGGACGATCGCGAGGTGAAAGATAAGATGAAGGAGCTCGTTGAGAAGTTTATCGAGGTGACGGGTAAGTGTTAACATCGTCCGTGCGTCAGCGCGAGAATTATCAGGTTAAATAGCGCGACTCGGATAGCATCGCGATTACGAGTGCCACAGCGTTTTTCTTCGAGCCCGTGTGTGAATCGCGACGATGCCGAGGGTGTAAATGTTAGGAACGTTATGCCGTTGCGACGTACCCGAGCGTTTTTCATGTTTGTGTCCTCTGATTTAGGCGAGAGCGAGGCAACGGCCCAGCAGTACCTGACGTTGGCCGATGGAAACGTGGATATGGCAATTAGCCTGATGTTCGAGGGTGGCAGACCGCCGGAGACCGAGAACGCGGATCCCGAGCCGCCCGTGAGGGCTCCTATATTACCCACGCGTGAGACGCTAGTGCCTTCGGAGCCGATATGTTCATTGCCACAATTGTCGAACAACGTGTATGACAGATTCCGTGATTTTGCTGCAGAAACCCGTACGCATTTTGTCCTACAACTTAAGCCCATTCTACAATAGCCGTAAAGTATGCGTTAAGAGGTAAGCAGTAAGCTATTGACTAATGGGATTTATACAATCCAAGAATGATCGACTGTAGTTGGTCAATTTTTACTGCTTACGTCTTAAAACATACTTTTACGGCTATTGTAGAATGAGCTTTATATCAATTAGAATAGGTAGTATTAAGTGGGATGGTTGTTGCATGGATGGTATGAGGATGTCAAGTTTTTAAACCAAGTTTCTTCAAATCTACTTCTTGGCATGTAAGTTGAAGTTAATAAGTTATTATTGTTATTACATGCTGATAATTAATGTAGGACGACAAGAGGAAGAGATGACTCGCAGAGTAACTGGCACAAAGCACATATCTCAAAAGAAAACGAAGCGACTGGAAGATCTATTTAGACCACCATGCGATATTCTCTTCTTGGGTTCCTTCATGGAAGCACGGGACCACGCGAAAACTTTAAATCGTTGGCTGCTCGTCAATGTTCAGGATCCACAGGAATTTTGTTGCCAGATTCTCAATAGAGACGTGTGGTCCAACGAGCATATCCAAGAAATTGTGAAGGATCACTTTATCTTGTGGCAAGTATGTCATTTCACCTGAATATCATGTCACTTTCTATAGTTGACGTTCTGATTCGTCGAGTTACATTTGTTGCTTCTTAATTTTAGGTCTTGTCTAACACTTCGGATGGGAAACGTTATATAGATTTTTACAAAGTGATGTCATATCCTTATTTGGCGATTGTAGATCCTAGAACGGGAGAATGTATGAAAACTTACAAAAATATTACTGTAGACAGTCTGATATCTGATTTAAATGATGCATTAAGCACACATGCATCTCCCGAAAGTTCACAAGTTACATCTGACTCTTCCAAGGATTGGAATAGTTTTCCTACGAAAACGCCGCCAAAACGAAATAATATAGCTGATCAAATGAAATTGGAGAAAGTTAGTATTTAAATTTTACATTTTTTTAAAAAAGCCTTTTGTGATAGATTTTTTTTGTAATGTTCCTTTTTTTCAGGAATGTGGCATACTTTCTAGATTTTTGGAAAGAGATGTCAAAGATTTGTTCTCCAAAACAGTTCAAGATTTTGGTTAGTATCTTTAAAATTAAGAGCAGTTCAATTTTACAAAGTTACATCATATATACTGATTGATTTTAAATATAAACTGCATTGTTAAATATTTGTATTATATATATGCAGGAAATGGCAATGTAATATCTGATAATATTACAAATTTGAATGGTCCAGGTATGACTATTCCAAGTAGCAGCAACGCTGCTTTTAAAAAGAGAAAGCTGAATGAAAATGTGACTAAGCAGCAAAAAGATGAAAAATTAAAATCAGATGATACAGCTAAATCTGAAACTGCTAAATCTGAAACAGCTAAATCTGAAAAAAGTAAGTGTGACATGTCCATTGTAATTTATGATATTTCCAACATATCTTTTATTTCACCTACAAAATAATTTTTTTATCCAGGCGACGAACCTTCTCTACGTCTCTGCCTACGATTGCCAAATGGCGCAAAGGAAACAATATCAATGTGTGCAACAAACACCATAGAAGTATGTACTAAAAATTTCTTCCTAAGATCGCACAATCATATAAAGAAAGACATAATATAATTGCAATTTTTTAAGGACTTTTTAACTAAAATGGAGGAAATGGGTTTCCCATCAACCGAGCACACCTTTTTGGTGCCATTCCCAAAAACAAACGTTGGTGCACTGTCCGCAAATACTCGTCTGCTAGACACAATCTTGTTTCCAACGAACACAGTATTCATAACGAAGATATAGTAACATTCTATAAATGAATCATAATTGCTTCCATTATACAATTTTTTTATTTAGACTGCATATGAAACATTTATTTGAAATTTTTTTATTATTTCTACATTTATTTTATTTCCACATTACTACGAAAGTTTGTAAAAATTGTGTAGTTAAAACTTTAATGTTGGATCTCTGTTTCTTGAAATTAATTACGTCTTTTATGTTTATTTAAACAGGTTTTAAATTAAAAAGAACTTTTTTTTTATACAAAAATGATAAAGGCACTGCCATTCAGTGTTCATGTCATACAAAAATGCATTCAGTATAATCTTGTTATCTTAAAGTAGGATTTAAGATTATTGCGACTTATATGAAAGAGAACAGTTGCAAACATTGTGCGTAGTAACTGCCGAACGATCGTCGTGTAATATTACTTTTAAGTTTTACTATTATCATGTTCGCAAATCTCACAAGTGCCGTCCATGATGCGTGACGCAGCCGTCACAAAACATTTCTTTGGAACATTTCAAAATGGCACATACGGCAAATTGCTACATCTTTGGCAGTCATTTTATACTATTATTACATAATAAAACGTTTTGAAGCATTCTGTATGCAACTTTTGTCAATGTGATTCAAGATACAAAACAAGTAAGACTCCATATTATAATATATCATTAAATAAAGAGTAAGATAATGAAAACAACATTATATACATCGCTGATAGTACAAGATATATCAATGTATGATCGTTTCGTTAAGGTAATCAGTTCAAGTTGAAACTGCCGATATAATTAAGATAGATATAGATTTAAGATAGCTTACAAGAATTATAAAATGTCAATAGAATATACTAATATTATGTATCAACTAGATACATCTCATACATGTCAAACGTATGTATTTTTACTTATTATTTCTCAGTGTATAGCACTATCTGTAATGTATATGGTAAAAAAGATTTCTCCTATTAAGTGTGTACTTATATTAAATATATCATTTAAATAAATCATATTAATATTTCATATATCCTGCACCACTTTTAATATAAAATGCCTATTTTTTTATATGTAATTTAGTAGTCTGTCAGCAATTAAAATGTAACTTTAACTTTTAACACAGCGCATATTCTCTTTAATAATCTTAATTATATCAGATGTCAGGGAATATTGATTCACACACATATACATATATATATATATGTATATAACAAAACATGCATTATACATATATAAAGATATTAAAATTATAAACACATTTTATACAGGGTGATACAAAGATTCATACATAAAAACAATTAAAATAAAAATGATATAAACTATATAACAAAGTTCGGTGAGAACAATCGCCATGTGTGTATTTTACATATGTTATTTATATAATATACACATAATATATACAAATTAATTGAAAGTGTAGTCCATTTCATAGATGTCATATAAATATAAAGCTTCAGTCATTTTAATTTTTGAGTATTGATATTACAATATATATTCAGTATATATGTCTTATTATTCGAGCTGTATATAGCATTCAAAAAAATATACATGTCTTCACAAGAGAGAATAAAACAATTCTTAATATAAAAATTCAATATTTGGTATTGTAAAAAAATATTTGGTATTTTAATTTATTGGTTTTACTAAACAATGTATGATTTTCCGATTAAAAAATCACAGCACAGGTCGTTCGTGTTTCCAGTCACAAATATCTGCCAAATTAATATTCTAAAAATGCTACAAAATTTATTTCACTATGCCTAATACCGCGCAGAACACTGTAGTCTAATTAGAACAGCAGTGGCAGCAAATATTAATGGTTGTCGACAATAATTTTTATCAATTTCATATAGAAACTTGATGCACAAAGCGGAATATTAGTGAGGCGGTTGCATGAGTGATGTCTGTGCGCGCAATGTCATACCAGTCACATCTTCTGTATAGTGGAATGAGAAAAGAATAAGAGAATATTAGATATAATAATATGTAAAATTCATAAATAATAGATTCTATATAATAGCACTAAATAAACGAATAGATGAAAACATGTGGCTGTGCTTGAAATTAACATAAGCTGATAATTAAATTTAACGTAAATATCTTCCAAGTTATTGGCAAAATTCAACATTAACGAATAAATTCAACAAAGACTGAATAAATGACAAAATTGAATATCAAGAGAAATCATATATATTGTTAGCACAAGCAGTCTTTGAAATACTTGTGAAAAACGTGATAGCCATTCTGTGGAGATAACACATGCTAACTTTCCTTGAAAAAATAAGAAAGATAATTCCAGTATTTTTATTCGTATATACGTGTCGATACATTATATAACGATAATCTTTCGAATAAATTTTATATCAACACAATAATGTTTAATATCAATATATATTACCTACACTACAAAATGTCCTTAAAGTATATATTTTTAATAATATATATATTTTTAGTAATAAACACATATTCGAAGACAATGCTCTGAATATTATACATTATATATATACATATACAGTAGATAAAAAGAATGATCAATTAGAGAAAATGCTGTCCAAAAATATTAAATACTATCGATATTAATAAATTATTAATAAATTAATAAGTTTGTTACTTTCATCCGTATCAGAATATATAGAGATTTCATTAAATATTAACATTATGTAAGTATTTAAAACATAACACGTACATATTAAGTATTATTTAGCGACTAGTTAAGAAAATATGGTTTCACCAAAATAACAATGTCTTGAATTTATTTTTAAAGCATTAAAATATTTTTTCTCGACTGGTATTGTCTATATCCGTGAGAAGGCATAATGATATTGAAAGTAAATATGTCTGTATTCCTTTAAGCTTGTCTAAAGCATATTTAAAAATAGATTTAAGCTCCATACGGATTGGTACGGTGAAGTAGGGTTGTTAATAAGATTGCAAAGCATTTCTACTCGACTTATCTTAAGAACTTAAAGATAAAAAGAGCTATAGAAATTTATGAAAATAATTCTTCTTCCATACCGAGATGTTTCAGAAATACACCCATCGGCGTGCGTTTCAAACCAATGCCCTCGATTTTATTGACGATCTTGTTTTTGTAATTCCTTAATCTCAGCGAGGCGTGTACAAATGTCACTGAAAACATTGATATAGATATTACTGATATTGATCTGTATTGATATAGATAGAAAATATTGATATAGTGAAATCAATTTGACTTATGTTTAAGAAGTAAGATCAATGAAATTAATAACGATATGAATTATAATATCAAATATCACGCTTACCACAGAAAGGTAGCAAAATGCCGAACAAGAATACCAGAAGAGATCCCAGAGTATACGTTATGAAACATCCAGCGAATATTATGAACAATACTCCAACCACAGGATATTGCCTTTTCAAGCGATGTATCGTGCTTCCTTCCATGGATAGGTATGCAAACGTACCCAAGATCGCTGTCATCGCCAGCATGCCGACTAGCATTTTGACGGGATGGATCAATCTATATGCAGAGAATTCATACAAATAAATTAGTAAAACGTGAAACAACGCATGGAAAGTACAATATGAAGCATTTGCGCGAGAACTTCTAAAAATAACATTCACTCAATAACATTATTAATTTCAACGGTACTCAAACTATATCCTGTAGACCTCCAAGACTCTAAAAAAGCTATGTTACACATCTAGAACATAGCAATAGGAAGATTCAGAATGTCTCTCGAGAAAGACTTGTGGACAAGAGAGTTCGAGGACCGCTGTGTCGGCTCGCAAGGCACAAGAACACGTTTTATTACGTAAAACAATATGTACAGGATATAACGGATGTGATAAACATTCGGAGACCGCTCACCCAACGATGAGAAAGATGACGACGGACGTAAACAAGTAATTAGTCTGGTAGTACTGGAGATTGTTGACCACCCGATTGCCCCACTTCTCCAGGTCCTTGAGATTCGGTAGCTGGAAGCGTGCCGACTCCAGCAGGAAGTCGTCCAGGCTGCGTAGCGGCGGCAGCTCCAGGTCGTTGTTCAGCAGCTTCGTCTTGTCCATCGCGGCGCCGGAACGTCCTCGATATCGCTCCGATCAGATCAGCCCGATCGTTCCGCCGTAAGATCGGTATTTTTGGACGATGACGAGTCTGGCGACGAATGTCATGCGACGCCGACGTGCGGATTGTCGTCGGTCGGGGAACAATTAATTGGCGCGATTACGCCTCGCGTTTTATTGTCGGAGCAGCGCGAGTCAGCCCGAAGAGATCGGAGTCGTCGAACGTGCGTCTCGTCTCGGGTACGAACGATTTTACAAATGCTGTCCGTCGCCGATCGTCGTCGAAATGCATCCGCTACGACGTTTCTCGATGAGCTCCCGACAGTCCCGACAGGTGGATATCGGCGATATCAGATTATGTTCGATATGTTCGAAGTCCTCGTTCAAAGCAGGAAGGTGCTTTATCGATCGAGCGGGAGCCGCGGAAGGACGACCTACTTCCCCGCGATATTCAAAAGAAAGACTTTGCAAGATTTTGCATTGCATTTTACTTTAGGAGTTTGGATAAATTGGGTTGTTGAATAAATATTCCAAGTGTACAAATGACATTCGCGTAAGATAAATAATTTACACGTACGAATAACGAATTTTTAAAATATATAAATACAGTAACATATATATGTATATATATTTTCATGTTGAATGCACTTTTTATGTTGAAGAGAAAAAAGAGAAAAGATGAACCGTACAAGAAGTTCAGCTGAGAAGAATAGGTCCATTTATACAATGGGATTTAGATTTACTTTTTTTCGAATAATTCTGGAATAAACAAAAATTCGCGAATTACTGGACTATAAAACTGGACTATAGTTGTAATTCTCGACTCTTTTGTGCCTCGAAAGAGTTTCAATCCTAAACATCGAGCGTATGTATATTGACGTATATATATCTCGCAATTCTTCGTCTTCAAACAAATTCAATAGTCTATTTTCTTTTAGAGTGAATAATTGTCTCGCGAGATTCACGTAGATATATACGCGACAGTCGAATATGTAACACTTTCTATTTCTCCGATTAATTTTCCAACTTGAGAAATTAAATCTAATTTTTGGAAAAAAAATTCAAAAGCATTTTAAACAAAAAGTAGTAATCGTTGCGTGAAGAAAATAATATGGGCAATGTTTTTAAATTTTATAATATTAGACAGTTAACTCTTATGTTAGGTATAAATATAGCAGAAAATAACTTTTAGGAAAAATACGAAAACTTAATTAGTATTTACTTATTAACTTTATTTCGAATAGTTTTTTAGTTGGGCTATTGATAGTCTTTCTTCCTTTCAAAGTGTTTTTTAAACTTATCTTTTGTAATTAATAATAATAAGATGAGAAAGTTTCATGAACTTTTAAAATAACTAAAAGATTCTGCCAATTTAATTTGCAACAAAAGCGGAACGTACTATTAGATTATTCAGATTAAATTAACCATTTTCTTCATATATCTATATATCTATAGAACGCCGATTTAAATATTGCACGAAGACGCCGAATAGTCTAGCGCCGTCTCTGCATTAACGTCATGTACATTTTTTTTAAGTAACGCTCGACGACGTTACGATAAAATAAGTGATAAGACAAACTAACCTCAGCGTTGGGGATATTTCAGGGCGCAGAAGTAAAATGTAAATAAATTACATTACATATTCCGCGAGAAATATTCATGTATCTTGTTTACAAAATCATCAAACGTGACATTTTTAGTTTTCTTTGTTACAAAACTCGAGCTAAAACTTGACATACAGGCTCTTTAAAACAGATATACAGTAGACACTCATGTAGTCGATCTCGATTGTTTCTTAATACAGTTAGCATATAATCTCTTTGATTATACAAATGTAGGAAATTAAATATTAATAACGCGCGATAATTTCTGCACCCTGTTGAGTAGAAGATCTCCTTGCTTCACCATCGCTTGATATTGCCAATTCTTGCTGTCTGGCCGATTCGTTTCGACTACGCCTCCGACTCGATCGACCTTGCAGTGCAACCGACCTGCGGCTATGAAGCGTGACAGTTCTCTGTAAAAAACAACACATTTATGTGCATCAGCAGCATCTCTTTGTGTGCAACGCAGTTTCGTAATTTTAATTAAACAATTACGTTAACATTACTAACAGCAAATTAAATAAAAATGAGTAATAATCACTTACTGATCAATGTATTCGACGGTGACGCCGAATGCTTCAGCCATATACTGGAGGGTCAAAGACCGATAGGATTCCAGTAATTGCGTATACGCGAGAATTCGCATCTCCCGAACGTAATATCGATAATGAGGAAATACTAAGTAATCCCGGCGTAGCACTCCTTCAACGTGTGCTGAAACGGTATATTCGACAATTGAATCTCCCCTCCAAATAAGTGAAATTTAAGCCTTAACTTTCGTGCTTACCAAGGTTCTTGAAAAAATCTGCATAATGACAATTATACAGTGAAAACAAGTAATCCTTGACGTCTGGATTACTGTGAAGTACCTCCAGTATCTCGGATCCCTTGATGATTTTGTCTCTCAGCTCGTTCCGTGGAAGACTTATCATGCTCAAGTATACCGTGTATCTCACAAACGTGTTATAATCCATGAGCTCGTAACTCGTAAATGTGCTAATTGTGTCCAAAAAGAAGTTCGCCGCTTCCTTGAAGTTGCGAATCGCTATGCAGTATATCCCTTGATAAACTTTCAAACGATTTCGTCTGTCCCAATCACCGCCCTCTTCTATCAAGCTGCAAAATACGAGCGAAATATATTAAATTGCCATAAAGCGTATAACAATTGATGTAGATATAGTATTTTTTTGTCTTTACCGACCTTTTTGCCTTTTCGATATTTCTGGTAATATGATCGTGGTCCAGGTAGAACAAGCCGATCCTAATGTTGTGAAATACAATGTCTAATCTGTGCCCTAACGATACTGTTTTGTCATAAGTTTTCCTAAACGCCGAGATTGCGCCTTCCTTGTCGCCTATTCGACAAAGGTACTCGGATTTCTTTAAGTTGGCTTCCCGGACTTCCATCTCGCTCAGATTTTTCTCAGCATCCTCGATGGCGTCGTCGAGTTTCTTCAACTGTTCCGCATTATGCGCCTTCATCGTTGCGAGAAACGCCTCGTCGACTGGCCAATTCAGGTAGTTGCATACCTCTTCGTAGAACGGAGCCATATCTATTGGAAAGAAATCGTTATTTTTATTTCTTACACGAAACTAATGGTCAATCATTAAAGAATTCATTAATAAATTGATCATAGCATTTTTTTTCACGGTATTTAACATACCCTATTTTAGATCTTATTTTTACACTTTTATTTCACATTTTCCATTTAGGGGATTCATATATCTTGGTACATTAGCTTATCGCTTTCTCTCAATTGCTTCTTTCTTTTAAATTGATCATAGCAGTTAACAGTAGAGGTTATGTTTCGAACAATGACAGATGACGTTTTCAGCGGCCAAGATAAAAGAAGAGAAAATAGCGGGACTCGTTGTCTCAAGCAAATCAAGTCGCAATCCCAAAAATTACATAAAACTTTTGGAAATAACCGTGACAAGCGATCAAGAGAAAAGATGCAATCTCACTATCGGCTTTGATGGCGTCCAGGAGTTTGGTCTTCAGGGCGGCATCGTCCGTGTGTTCGCGAAGACCCAGCAGAAATTTCGTCTGCGCCAGCTCCAAATTCGGGTTCTTCTCCAAACCCTCCTCCTCCAGGTTCTCCAGCGGCATTGTGAATTATTGCGAATAATTCGACGGAACGCCCGTAACACTTCTGTGCGTCCTTCGAGAGGTTAGAGCTCCTCGGTGGCAGACGGCAGTGGCACTTCATTTCACGTTCCAATTTGAAAGCTGTTTGGAATGTATCCGAGAGATGGCGCCACCGTGTCAATTTCTCGCCCAAGTGTTATATTTTTCGTTCGCGACGCTGCAAAAGATGACGCCGTCGTATCCATTGCTCGCTCGTCCGTGAATCTTCAATTTCTGCTGGTCATTCTCTGATCTCTCTCTTTCTCTCAAGAGAAATATCTGCAAAATTACTTCGAATTAGTAGAAAGAATTTTGTAACGTAAGTGAAATAGCCTTCCCTACTTTTTAACACGCTTGCTATGGGAATCCAGTCGTTATCAAAATATGAACACATTAGGGACATAGAGAACTCAATCGAAGTAAATAGAAGTAATTAAAGCTGTACTTGAGAGACATAATTGACATGCCAGCTTAAAAACCTGCAGATAAGATGCAGCAATCCAGGGCTCTCGAATTTAACGTTTCTAATCTTGAAAGTCGGAAGGATCTTCGATCCTTGTAACGCGACAAATCTCTCGTTGGACAGAGCAAACGGGGGAGGGGGGGGAAAGGGGAGGTTGAATGAGACAAACGCACCCCGTTTGTTTTAATGAATCAATTTATTTATTTCTTTTCTGGCACGTATACCGCCATCGACTCAGGGTAGGTGAGTCCAGAGAAAGAGAAAAGTCTGTCTCCACAAGATTCATTTAATATTCAAAACATATATGAGGGATCTCTCTCGTGGCGAGAGACGCGACTTCGTTCCGTTTGTCGGTTTCCCCTCACAAAGATCCATCTCCTTCGATTCCTTTCCAATCCGAAATTTTCTTTTCTCTCGCGATTATTTCCACTCGTCCGTTTATCTTCGCGACGATATAACGAAGGATCAGTAGACTGACATGTAATTTCTACGATCTTCATCGTAAGAAACTCAACAGCTGATTCGAACACAAAGAGCGCAGCCGACAAGCCTCCGGATGACCGTTGCTCTCTCCGACTCGCGAATCTGATCGACAGTTCGCGAAATCGAGACGGATTGAAAACGGAGGAGAGATTAATTGATCTTTAGGGGAAACAATAAAGCCTTTCGTCTCAAGAGTTGCCCGACCGAGCTCCTCGTTTTTCTATCCCACATTCGATTCGAGACGATCGTCACCTTGCAAAATAAATAATCGTTACTGTATCTATTGTTTTTGCTTAAAACGCAAAACTCACATTGTATGTCCAGCAATTTGAGAATTCATTAAGTGTACTTGTACTTAGTGATCCTTTCATAATTAACACGCATATATCGACTTCATCCCTTTATCCCTCGTTAATTAGCCTCATTAATTTTCAGAAAAAGAAATCTTTGCGAGCGAACTCTCAGGACGTCTTCTTCCCGTCGAAGAACGAGACCTGTGTCTATCTACTTTTCCGATTGATCATACACACGCGTGATTCAAAGAAGATCCTCGTTTCTGTCAAAAACAAATCAGCCTACACGTGTTGATATTCGTCGAGCGTTGATCAAGGTAATTAGAGCTCTGAATATCCAGCAGCGTCATTAATCATCATCACGCTCCTTCGTATAACAGTTCTGTTATAAAAAGGACGTATGACATTACACTAATAAGAGATAGATCATAAACGTGGATAAGTTGTCGACGATCTGAGCGCTAAATACGCGGTAGGTACTTATACATTCGTCGCCTTTAAGAGGAAGAAGGGTTTCTTTCGGATAAAGAATATTCTCTTTCGGTGTTATATCAGTAATGTATTTTGTAACAATTCATTTTTTTTTTTCACATAAAATATCGTAGTAGTACGAGCAGAGACATACAGATTTACATATTGCGGGATACTCGGGTATCCACTGAGCACCCAATAATAACGTCCGTTGGAGATCTGCGTGGGCTTCGTTAGGATCGGGCGGCAAAGGAGCAAGGAGAATTGTCATTTTTTTTTTCTTTTTCTTTCTCTTATCAAGCCGATGATCGTCCATCGAGACGAGCACGTCCGTCACCCTTCCTTATCCCGCGATATTTTTCGTAGGAGCGATGAATAATTCGAGAAGTACATTCGTTAATTCGATACAGAACACATCTCGATCTGCCCGAGCGATCGCGACCCGATCGACGACGACGATGACGACGACGACGACGACGGCAGCTGACGGAGCGCGCGCGGATCCTGCGATACGGATCGGCCGATCGTTCGAACGCACACGTAGATACACCATTACGTTTAATTAGTAGGTAGAATAATAGAGGTTCGAAGCGATTAAAAAATATGTCGGAGGCCGGCGATCCCGGCCCAAGCTCTCTTACTCGCTTACTTAACTTCTCGGATTTTGTTTCTTTTTTTCTTTTTTCCTTTGTTTATTCGACACGTTCAACAGCGAATCCACACTTTTATATATCTGTATAATATATATTTATACTTAATAGTAAAGTCCTTAATATAGCGATCAATTTACAATCAGTTTAGTTAATTTGATTAATCGAAGAATCAATTAATTAGTAGTGCGATGGTGGATGCGCCGGTCGCGCACCGACCGGCCAGAGTTATGTGTATAATAATCCTCATCTTTTCGACTGCGAATCGATGAACGTTGTTGCGCGACTAAAACACACCGATGACATCTATTATTCTTGGCCGCCGCCCGGAATCGGATTGGATTTCTGAAAAACATCTACTACAATAAACTTCGATCGTATGTACTCGTGACTCGCGATCGTGTCTGTGTCTGTGTCTGTGTGTATGTGTGGGGCTGTAAATGTCGTGTATCTGTGTGCGTGTGTGTTTGAGGCCGATGATGGAACGAAAGAAACATCTATAATATAGACATCAGTTATTATATCAACGATTCTCATCTATACCCTGTGCATCATCTTAAATGTCTCGACACATCCTAGGTGATTTCACCCGAGATAAATGTTGCTCGCTTATCCTTACGTCAATATATAATATTTATAGTTTATATTTATATAATATCTATATATATATATTTATATATTTATATATTTATATCTGTATATATATTTATAATCATGCCAGATGCGTCACTTTACAGCGTCGGTCAGCGACAAAGGAGGATGCCGATTAATGCCAGCTATAATACCTATTACGACTGCATGTAAGTGTGCGTCTTGTGTGTGTTCGTGTAACGTGTATGTGTGTATATGTAGTGGATGCGTGTATGTATGCGTGTCATGTATGTCCGTCTTCATTTAATCGTGTATTAATATATAGTGACTTTCGGCAAAATGCGAAACGCATAACAGAATATAATTAACGAGACAACGTAACGCGATTATGTTAATAACGACAGTAACGTATGTAACTCCACAGCGATATCGAGTCGATAACGATAAATAATAGAGTTGCAACGAGAAAACGGCGATGGCTGTTGCGGGCGCGAGGTACGAAAGTGGATGGCGCGGTGTGATAAACAAAGTTACACACGAATAGTCTCTTCCTTCCTCTGCCTCTCACACGCGTTAGGGGGGCTTACATATCTCCTTACATTAAGTAAGCTCGGCATCCGGTCGCGCGGGCGCGATCTCCTACCAATATTCAAGTTTATAATAATTCGGTCGATCGTCGGCGAATTCCGTCATTTCCGTCCCGCGCGGCGTTGCAAGGCCGGTTCTATTAACATCGATTAACATCAACCTTAGTTTAATCGATTTTCTGTCTCCTTCTTAGTCCAAGTTTTCTCGAGAAGGAGATAAATAAGTTATTTCCCATTACTAGGCGACGCAAAGTCGCGAACGTCGCGAATAAATATACCCGAAATTTGGAATTTTTTATGCGGGAATATCCGAAAGTCTCGGAATATTAATAGAAAATGGCGAGCACCATCTTGAATTAAGGTACCATTAAAGTTACATCTACAATTTAACGGTTTCTCTCATGCACAATTGTCTTTCTATGTCTGAGGAAACGAATACGAAAAATTTTTAATCGCCGCGACACTTTTATATAACATTATTACTTTCTTTCTGAGCGTTGCGTTTGAGAAATAGCTTGCACGGATAAGGATTAAACTATGGTTAAATTTGACCAACGTTGATGCAAATGACCGTGCCACGATTGAAGACGCACCGACGCAATCGGGCTTAATCTTCTCCTTGCTATGTGCAGTAACCTTAACGATACAATGACGATAACGGTTAATATTTACTCTGTTAAAAAAGCTCACGTAACGCACGTGCGGCTCGCGATTCGGTTGGTACATTTTCGCTCGTCTCTCGTTAGAGTGCGACGAGGAAATGTAATATCCGCTGGAATAACGGAACAATGAACGTGAAAAACTGGGAAATTATTTAATCTAGAGCACTCTGTGCGCGACAAGAAAAGGAATAAGTGAAACAAATGGTAGCGTATCTTTTATTTTGATCTAAGAAACACATCCGATCGCGCGAACGAAGGTTTCGTCGCGAAATGCAGACTCGCGCGTTCGAAACTGACGACGCTACGAGCGCAAAGATACCCTATAGTCACAATTGATCGCTGATCGCGTTCTTGATCTCTGTTACAGGATGCTGATGAACATGGACTCGTAGAAACGTGATAAGGTACGTAAAAACGTATAATTTCACAACCGGGCTTCGTAATTGCGATGGGTTAACAATTTTTTCACGTACCTCCTATCCATTTTTACGCTTAGACCAATTTGCTGTATTGGCAACGATGCCTATAATTATGGTACAACCGAGCGAAACTTAACGCGGATAAGCCATCACGAGAGTTCTCCCGTGAACGCGAAACTTATACAATTCGATTAAGCTTGGCTCGTTGCACGGAATGAGAACGATTGCTCATCGGAGGAGAGACGCGTGGCTCCTTACAAATTTATAAAAGATAAATCTCGTTTTCGTTCAGATCTACGATTTCTCCTTCTTTGTCAAGATGAATTCTTCGGTCATTCCTGCGTTGAGAGTTGAATATAGTTAAAAAGTTATGTAAGTGTCACTTCTAAGAAATAATATTACGTGTGTCGCCACGTATATATATAAAAAACGAAGAGAATCGTCGACTTTTAGACAACCTTAAGACTGCAATTACGATGAAAATGCGTCGCGATATTAAGTGCTGTCTTCGACACGTTAATTAATTGAATACGCAACACAGTAATAACAACAGGCTAACAATGGTATAAGACGCAATGCGATACATTAACACGATAAGTGCGAAACGACGCTGTTGTTTCGATCGTACAATCGTAGCGTGTTTTTGCCGAAAACGAAACCGGTATAAATTTCGATCAGTTCTATTATAGCTTCTATTTACAGATACGGAAGAATCATTTTCATCACAAAAATCTTGTATTGCACTTCCGTTACATTGCACTTCCGTCTCAAATAATATTATAATTTTTCGTCTGACAATATCATTTATGTAATATATAATATCATATGATATAATATTATGTAATATTATATTATATATATATTATATATAAAAATGGTACAAAGATAATATTATCATTACATGATCACCGTATGTAATGATATGATAATATAATATCATTTTCAAATAACGAAAAAGTTTGAGTGACTCGAATGGATCTATTGCACACAGCAGTATATGTCCAATGCACTAATAAGCGTAAAATTCAATTAAAATAAGTTAATCATCAAATAAAGTTATTTTCATTTCAATTTGAACTCATCGAAATTATATTTGTTTCGATAACCGGTAATTTTTCGAACTTCGCTTTACTTTATAGATGCGTCGCGACGTCGACGCGTTGCTTCTTATATTGATTTTCGAAGATAACAATTTAGAATTGCAAATTGGTATAGGATGCGCTCTCTATACCCCACTTGCAATCTTGAGTGCCCTTCGAAATACGAAAATGTAGGAAACGTGGTTTCGGTGGTGGCGAAGCTCGTACAGACATGCTTATAACGAGCAATGCGACGATCGATATCTCCTGATCGATGTAGGGAAAAAAGGATAGCGCAATTACACGTTTGGCCGACCTCGGCTACGTCGGCCGAATTCGTAATCGCGATCTGTCCGGCATTAAGGTCATTTATCGTTATGGTTATCGGAATGCGTGCCCGTGTAAGTGTATTTTAGCGATCGGATCGGATACAGAACGCGATCGGCGAACCTGATTTACCCGAGGCTTACGTTTCTCGTTCGTTGCGTGCGCTATAGTCGCGTTTCACGAGGCGGCTTTCCCGTTCCCGAGCCGCGCGCCCGTAATTACTCACGGCGTAATCACATATCGAGAGCGTGATAAAAAAAAAAAATAGAGTGTGAGAGAGGCGCGACGACGAAGTAGAAGCGGGATGCACGGAGATGAAGGGGGAGAGGAAGGGAAGGAGAGTGAGAGGGATGTTGAAACAATTGCGTGGGGTGCCCCAAAATTGACGCAATATAGAACGCGTGCACGCCTCGAGAGCATGTTTCATATCCGACACAATCTTTCAGATATCTATTTCAATTCAATGTTTTAGGAACTGAGCTTCAGATTCTTAAAGTAATTATGCATCTCAAGTAAAATGCATGATACACTATCCAATAATAATTCGGATAATAGTTCATTATTGCTATCAGAATCTCGATGTTTTCGACGAGGGGAAAAATGTATATCCATTTTCCGCCAATTCTGGGGAGGGCGTTCTTTGTACGTAGAACCGGCTTGAGCAAAGGAGAGAGAAGAAGAGGAATATCGTGCGGTAGATGGACGCGAAAGATTTGCGCACAGATTGTAAGCAACATCTCGCGGGGTGGATTCGCGGAGGGCGATTTAGAAAGGGAGAGTGACGAGGATGAGGGAACGGCGATTCGGAGGGGACGACGCGCGACGGTGCGACCCCGACACGTTGAGAGCCGTGTCTTAAAAGACGTGTGTAAAAATACGTAGAAAAGATAAACGCGGCGGATACGTGCGTCGCTCTCGCGCGCGCACAGGAGGCGATCGGCAGGCAGAGGAGAGGGAGAGGATGGGACGGGGGATGGAGGGAGAGAGAGAGAGAAAGAGAGAGAAAGAGAGAGAGAGGATTATCAGGGGCTGGTAGGTCGGTGGTAGCGAACGGTGTCTCACATCGATTATCATACACCGTCGTAGGAGAGGTCGACCGGCGGTCTGTGGTGCGACGGTGCGAGGTAGGACGGCGGCGTGGTGGTGTTGCCGGGCGCCGCGCCAGCCGTGCCGACGTAGCCGGCGTAATTGGCGCTGGGCGCGTGTATGCTCGTCGGTGGCGTCGGGTAAGCGTCGAACGAGCTTGAGTACGAGCCGTTGTACGAGTACGGGTTGCCGAGGGCGGCGGATGGATGCATGCTACTCATGCCGCTCATCCCGCCGATCCCGTAGGAACGCTGGATCAGGCTGGGATCGAGGCCGCCGAACAGATAACCGTTGGTCGAGCCCATCGGCACCGGGTAGTGGCCGGGTATGATGTTAGGGTACGTGTTGCCAGAGTGGCCGTGGTTCATGCTGGGGGTATAGTTGCTGGACGCGAGATTCTCCACCGTGTAGGACTTGCTGTGCTGCTGCTGCTGCTGTTGCTGCTGTTGATGCTGCTGCTGCTGCTGCTGTTGTTGTTGAGACTCCTGATGATGACGGCTGTTCATGCCGTACAAACCTCCGTAACCCGCGTCAGTAGGAGAGTGGTGCAGCGAGGAGGGATAGATTCCACCACCCGGCGCCAACGGTGGACTGTAATTGGTCATCCCGGTTGGTCCAGCTGACATGCCGCCGAAACCGGACATGTAGGACTGATGGTGGTCCATCTTCTCCGCTAGAGTATCGTCACCCGGCATACCCGGATGCGAATGCTGCAGACGCTGACTGCCGCCGTCGGCTATGCTCGGGATCTGATCCACGAGGGACTCTAGGTCGCTTAGACTCTTAGACGCCACGTCCTGGCCGGTCCTCTTGATGCCGTACTGCTCGTGCGGATGGTGCGGCGACATGGACGTGTGGGTGGGCGTGTGCGGATGCGGCGGCGTTGGATGCGAGTGATGGGAGTGCTCCTCGGCGGTCTGGCTGAGAGGCGTCGGTGTCGTCTGATGCGGATGCTGGTTATGCGTGTCCGGCGGCTGCTCGTGATAGCCCATATAAGCGTAGCTGTGGGACGGCGTGCCGGGACTTCCATGGTGGCCCGTAGGATCGGGCCCTCCGGCCGGATTGTACTGACGATGGTCCATGTTTTGCTGCGACATGCTGGTAGGCGGCTCGAAGTCCGGATGCTCGACGCTGGGCGACGTCAAGGGCGACGGCTCGAGATTGTTCTCCGACGACATCCCGGTATTGATCTCCGACGACAGGTCCGAGTGCGTGAACGACAACGACATGGACTTGGGACTCTGGCTGTAGTGCTGTAGGTGCACCGGGCTCTGCTTCGCGCTTATATTGTACGGGCTATTGTCGTTCATGCCCTGGCCGAAAAATCCGTCGTTCATCGGCGGTTGTGGATACGGCGCCATGTGCGGGAACGTCTTCGGAGGTGACATCAGCGGCGGGGAAAAGCAATTCGGCACGTTACTGTAACCGTCGTTCAAGTGGGTCATCGCCTGATGCTGTTGATGCTGTTGCTGCTCTCTCTCGCGAGACTCCCGCTCCATCTGCTTTTGTTGCTGATGTATCTTTTTCGGACGACCGCGGCGCTTCTTGATGACCTCGCCGTTCGCGTCCAGCTTCTCGGGATCCGGCGGCGGCTGATCCTCCGGATTCTTGATCTTCTTCGGTCTGCCGCGTTTCTTCTTGCCAGGTATCAGGCCCGACTCCTGCTTGATCCCCATGCCGTTGATCTCCGTGATTCGGCTCTCACCGTCGGGCAAATCGTCGGCGAACACTGGCTTCTTATCCTCGATCGACTCCTGTTCCTTCTTCTTGAGCTTTGAATCGGCGAACACGATATCTGACTCGTCCAAGTGCGTGATCGTACCGTTTAGGTAGTCGCGGAACTTCTTCAGGGCAGCGTAATATGGCACCTTGTCAGCAGCACGTGGTAGTTGAGCACACCTCGCGCTGCTTGAGGGCATAACCCACATATACTGCAACACAATATCGACAAGTGAGAATTTTGCTTAGGCGATTATAGATATTAAACATTAAAATAATAACTTGGTTGAATTCGAATCCCGATAATATGATCAAAATATTGCGAAAGTGATCGTTTATATTCGTGACAACGTTACATCTTACTGAACTCATTAAAATTATTAGCTTCAATTGTGGTAGCCACGTGTATCCCTACGGCAGCTCGACATACTAACCAGCTGTGCGCGAGCAAACGCGCTTTTTCGCGAGCGCTTGTCCCCGCCGACTGAGTTTATAAACAAATTCAGCAAAAGTACTCATTTCTCTCATCGACCGATCGACACTCCCATCAAGCGTCGAATATAACAAGAGCACATACACTGAAAAGTTACCGCATCAACCACAATCGTCACACTTATTCCCAAACAATATTCCGGGCAAGACAGCGAGTGTCGTGAAGACGCGGAAAAATTATAATTTTTTCACAATTTTCTAAAATGTCTTTTCCCGAGAGCGATTTTGAAATTTGGTGTTACTCGGGATATATTAGTGCGAAAGAACGAAGAAACAATGTAGCGGCTGTCTTACCGTGTTGGTGCCCTCGACGAGATTGGGCTGTCTTCCGAACCCGAACTCCTTCTTTCCCGAGAATACTTCGTATATAAGTTTGCCGTTGAAAACTGCAATCTTCGGCTTATACTTCCGTAATTTCTCGAGAAGAATGTGACTACCTGCAAAATAAAAACAAGGGTTATTACTTTTATTCTATATTAATATATCACACGCTTATTCTATATTAATATCACATGTAAATACATTGCAATCACGATATAATATTAATGATTTTATTTATGACTTGTTAATGATTCGTACGGAATGAGGAGCAACAACTGATTAAACATCCTACTTAAACATCCTACTTGACGATCGATTAACATAAATGGCATTTGCTCTCTCTTTTTTTCCCTTCTTTCTCTCTCTCTTCCTCCAACGTTCTCTTTTATCTCAAACATTTATTTTAAAGCTTAAAAATAAATTCGATCAAATTCAAATTTCGCACACGGATTTACGATAGGCGCGCAGCACATTTACGCTCGCCTATAATTACCCTAACTTATAAATATACACATTATTGCATAAAGTCATTGATTACGCCTGTCGCTCCTTTTTTTTCCTCGCGTTCATTCGTTGAGCGCTATTTACGTCGTGCAAATCACCTATTCCATGTATTTTCGTAAAAAAGAGAGAGATTATATCGTAGAGCGTTTGATAAAAAGAGGCGCTCGGTAACAATAATAATAATTGAAGATAGATTCTTTATCACGAAGGAAGTGACAATCGAGAATAATGTACAGTGAACGAAATGACGATTTCCGCACAGTACAATCGACGCAGATATAAATGCGGGTGTAATTGTCTCAATTACAGGATTTAAGTCGTTCATTGGAATCACGTAATTACTCGAAATTCTCTTTGATTCGAAAGTCCCTTGTATTCGGATCGTTTTTAGTCGATGCAATCGCGATGTAGGGTCTCCGTTTCCAACAATCGTGCCCTTCTCGTATTTTCCAAGTTGACACGTGTGCTGGTTAACGCAATACGCTATAGGGGTCCTCAATCAACGGCCCTCGTAAAGTTTTATTTAAAAAATTTCGACGTTATAATACGAAAGAATTTTAAAATGGAGATATTTTGTTCTTGTATGAAATTAAAAAAATAAATTAAAAATTAAATAATTCAAATTATTTTTTACATTAAAATTAAAATTGAATAATTTAAAGTTTATAATTAAAAAAAATTAAGTAACAGGTTCCCGGTTGTTACTAAGAATTCTGACCTGTTTGACAAAGAAGGTTGGGAACCCCTACGATACGCACATCGGCGATAACCTTAAACGCGCGGCCGCAGCCGACTAATCTCATTTGAGGCGAGTGAGCAAAGCGTCCGACCGCTGCTCCGCTCTTGCACTTCCGGTCTCATTAATTTATCGGCTACTTTATTTCAGCGAGACGTCCGAGACACGTTTGACGCTCCGGCTAATACCGACCGGACGAACGTCCCGCGGAAACCGGGGAGAAACGGCGATTTCAGGGCGAGGACGTATAGTCGCGAGTGAGTAGTTTATTGGCTATTAATTATTACCGCTCTCGTCCGCTCCTAATAAATAATAGCGCTTTTCCGGAGCGAAGCTTAAAGCGGATCGAATACCGCAATGCCCGCCGCGAGGGGGGATAAAAAGGGCGCGTAAAACGGGAACGCGCTTGTGGAAGAAGAAATGTAATTTGACGACGTTTCGAAGCCGAGGACGTCCGGTAGCTTTCTTTCTCGTTTCGTAAAGAATTCGGAATCGATCGCTATATCCCGCGACAATCGTCGCCTCCGCATTTTCCGCCGTAATCGACATCGAGATTAGAATTAATCGGAGGCGCGGCGCCGCTCCAACGATCGGGCAAATCGAAATTCGTAGTAGGGCGACATTTATATCCGAATGGAGGGGTCCACATAGCTTTCGGCAGGGCGGTACGCGTGTCGCGATATGCCTCTTAGAAGCGTGCGGCCGATCAAGTTGGCAGTACTGCCGCTTCCCGCGTCGCGTACACGCATGGCCGCTACGGTCCGGGCGATCGGTCCGTAGAAAAAAGGTTTTCGGGATAACATTCGGGATGGAGCAGACCGAGATCGACGGTTCGTTCGGACGTGAGTGCGTCGACGCGATGGGATGGGACACGACGTTCGTCGAGGAGGAGCGGCTGCCGCCCGCGGAAGACACGGACGATCCGGAGCACGGTGAGCACCCTTCGATCCACGATCCACGAACGTTTGCGCTTCTTTTCCGCCGGTGCTACGGCGCCGCGCCGCGCCGCACGCGATTGCGACAAATGGCGTCGATAGAACGATTTTTCGGCGAGACGTGTGTCATCTCGGCGACGATCCCGCGGTGCGCGGTCGATCCGTGAGGGCATCGGAGTAGCGTCCCCCTCCGGAGCGGCGAATCGATCGAGACGGAGCAGCGTCTCGACGAGAGACGTTCGTCGGAGCAACTCGGTTTCCTCGAATCCCGGAAAAGCGGAAAATTTTCACGTCCTACGTGGCACACGGGAAATGTAATTTAGGAATGGTACTCCGGAAAGAAACATGGTGCCGCCGCCGCGCTCGCCCGGCTCGCTCGGCCTAACCTGTTGACGCAACAGACCGGCTCCTTGTCTCATTAGCATTGTTATGTTTATCTTTTTTTTTTATGTACCGCGGCACCGTTGCCGTTTTGCGTTTTTTTTTCTTCCTTTCTCACGGATATCGGGATACGCGCTCACTTCACTCCCGAGCAAAGTCCGGATTGTCCGCGTGGATTAGAAAAAAAATTTCAAGGCGCGCACGTTTGTAAATTTGTGCAAATTAAATTAACAAAACGATTGTTGGCAGAAGTAGAAATATACGAGGAAACCGAGCACGCCCTTCCTTCCGTCGACGAGAAATCAATTTTTTTGAAAGTTTTAAACCGGTTCCGTTTGAAACACCCTGTATACGCGATAGCCCCCCTCCCCCGTCATTTAGGCCGGACTTATGAATGGGAGTAGAAAACGATTCCCGTCGATATGTCCTTTTGCTCCGAAAATTTCTTCGCTCGCGGCATCGTGTTAGAAAATTCGGCATGAAAGAAAAACGGCTATTTATTCCACCGTCCCCCTCTCCCCTCCCTCCCGATGGACGTGAGAGATAACGCACGCACATGGTTGCTCGGAAAACATGTGAGCGTAACAATGCGTAACGCGTCTTTTATTTCGCGAGGAATCTCGCGTTTGTTTATGGGCGTGCGCTCGACGCGATTCTGTGGCTACGGTCAACGTGGCGCTACAAATGCTTCGAAGCATTCCTCTTCTCTTTTCTTTCAATGAAGAAAGAAAGCGAAGAAGAACGCTCCAAAGTATTTGTAGCGTCACGTTGACCGTAGCCTGTTTCACCGCTCTTGAGAGTCGGTGCCATGCATTGAAAAACCGAAAGAAGAGCACAAGTGAGCACGAATAAACTTGAATCGACCGAGTCCGAGGTTCGCGTGGCGAGATTCATTTTGCACGTCGATATCGAGGGAGAACAACACTTTTTACGCTTGCATTTACTTTCTTCACTTCGATAATTACTTTGTATTCCCATATAATTCACGATAATTCACATTGCATTCGCACGGGCTTCGGACACATATACTTACATCGCGTCGTGAACGTTATATATGTTGCGGACACGTGTATCTACCTCAGATACCCATTACGACTGTCGCTAGCTGAAGTCGTAAGAATGACATGCTCGAACGCAGTAAAAATTTCTAGAACTTTCTGAGCGACTTCACCAACGGGACAAAGAGTGCCCTAGGGATAGGTAGGTTTCTTTAGTTCCCTCGTCATGTGGGCAGGATAGAAACGAATAGAAACGAACGTATAGGACGAATTTGAGCGTTAAGCAGAATCGACCAATCGCAGTCGAGGGATACTCGAGCGATTGAGTGATTTTCTTAGCGCTCAAGGGCGTTCCTGCCAGCTTTCCTCGGAGCTTCCTTGAATTTCATTGGCTTTCTCGATTGTTTAAAGACAGTCAGCAACACGAACCGTTGCCGACGAAATATTACCAATTCGTAAAACACGTGTTTGTGTAAACCTGGGTGGTCGATTCTGAAACCCTAACTATAGCGTTACAACTTCAACTTGCCCTTGAAGCTGTCTGCTCTATTGTTCCAACGATCACATAAAAGGTCATACATAGTTCTAACAAACTATTGTTTCTTTGTTCTGAAACGTTTGTCGTAACCTTTATGAGATTTCGAAAAAGAAAAGTCGATTCCAAAGCAGCAGCCGTATAAAGGCTCTTAAAGAAAAACCAATTAGACATTCTGTATATAATTAATCACATTGCAAAAATAAATTCGCAAATTTCAAGTATGTCTTAATTTCAGCATATCTAATGTCACGATTATATCGAGACTGCGGAGTTTAAATTCGTAAATATTAATCGGGACGAGAATTCCATTTTGTTTTTTACACGATGAAATATAAATAGCGATGAAATATTGTATAACGTGAATATAATACGAAATTAAAAATTAATTTTCCCGCAAATTATGTCGGAGCGATATCGGGTTATGCAATAATTATTTTCACCCAAGATTTCGTAATTATCTCACCGCTTCTTGCAAACGTATAAAAACCGTTCGTCATACTAACCTTCTTTAATTTCCTTTCTTGTAAGATCCGCGCTGCCTTTCGTCGCACGTGCTACCATATTTGTAAAACCGATGCCGAGTCGTAAAAGCTTGTAATCGTCGTCCGCAGTCAACGGTTCGGGCGTGAGACCACTTAGATGTAGGCATTTCCCTGAAAAGAGGAGCACAATGAAAACAATCGCTTAACTGCATAAATTAATAGTAAGAACATAATGATGGTGCCCCGCGCGATCATAATGAACTTCATTATCCCGGATAGTGAAGTATTAATTTGCGAATCGATCTTGATTACTAATTTAAGATCCACCCGCAAAATTAGACTTTCAAATTAAATACTTGATAGATTATTAAATTAAAAATTTAGTTTTTCTTATTATTTTTCAAGTCTTGCAGAGTAATTGATAGCCACGGAAAAAAGGAGAGAGGATGAAATTATTATTATCATGTACGCATTAGCCTGTACAGCATGTTACACGCATCGCCGAAGCACACATGGGCGGCTTTTAAAAATTTTAATGAAATCGACGTAGGCGATATTATGCGATCCATTTTTAATTTTAATTGCATAATGTTAAGCATTAAATTGCTTACTTGCGGCGCCATTATAACGAAACGTATAATTGCAGTCGTCGCGTGAACGGCCAAATGACTTCGCAAAGCTATTGTTCCGCGCGAAATACTCCGTATTTTGTTAATAGGCCGCGCTCGACTATTTATATCCCATTAAATAAACGATCTAAATTTTCTGATAGGCATAATAAAGCCTCGCCCCGGCGGAGGCTTTCGCGCGGAGATAATGGAATTGTTAGAACAGAAGCGCGCAGCGTGTCTATTGTAATAGAAATGACAACCATTGTTGTTTCCATTGTCGATGGTACCGCGCTGGTATCGTTTTGCCCGGATTATACTAAAATCATCGTCGTGAATTTTATCATTGAAGTTTACTACTTGAGATATATTTTAATCGGACAACGACTCACCCGGTTTTTTTTTCCTGATTACGACTTACGCGTGGCAGTATTTTAATTTAACAATTCGAAAGCTTAATTTTCTCAATCGTTTATCCTTTCCGAAATAATCCATTCAATTGCCAAATCAATTCTATCATTCTACAAATTTGGAAATTCTATAAGTATTGATGAAATTATTGGCATTCTATTATTAATTCACTATTTCTACTAAAGCACGATGACTCCATTGTAAGATTACTTATTCTCTTTTAATGCCGATCGATTGCAAAGGTGAATGCAGAAAGAGAGCGAGAGAGAGAGAGAGAGAGAGAAAAAGAGAGCGAACTATTTCATGAAGATATATAAATTAATCTCGTGCAAGATGTACAAACGATTAGCGGTTGACCGCTTGAATGTTGCAACAGTGACGAGCGTCAATTAGCGTTGCGAATCGCAAATTTCCATTGTATAAATAATAAATAGCGCGTATAAATAGCGTATAAACAGCGGTAAATCGTACGGACGACAATTCGTTCTAAATATTGACGTATGAATGCTTGGTAAACGCGCGCGATCGTTTATTTCGTATCGCGAAAAGCAAACACGGCGCTTAACGTAACGTATAAAAGGTATTCGCGTCGGTTTTCCCGCGGTTATGCATCAAATCGGCAATGCGTAGTACATGGCCGTTTTCAAATTCAAATGGTCGTTTTTAGTAACGGCCGTACGAATGAGCAACTAAATACTCGTTGTCAAGTAATACCCCGGAGAGTTTTGTTTTCGACGCATCCGCGAAACTGCATCGCAACAATTTGACGGCCAAATATTTTGCCGGCGGAACAAATGTTGCAAAGGATAGATTCGATGGAAAAGGATTAAACGGTTTGGGTCACAGGCGTGTGGGTCGCGCTCGGTACTTCCTACTTAAAAGTTAAATTATGAGTTCGCCTAGTGCCACGTCTATGCGACTAGAAATAATCGCTTCTCGCTTGTGAAGGTTGATTTGGCAATTACAAATAAATTATTTACGCGCTAAAGTCTCGCTTCGTTAATCTCATGCCTTAATCGTCACAAAATTAAACATCTTGCGTTACGCTACTCGCGTGTTATAATCATTTTGAGATCAGAGCTTGAGTAAAATTAAAATGTGTATAAAGATGGATATTTTACATCTGCAATAATATCTACTTATAAGTACGAATATATGATTGAAAAATTTATTATCAAAGTATATTATGAAAAAAACGTCACGCTGAAGTCTCTTCTCTTATAGCGAACGAAAACGAAGCCTTCTAGTTGTTAAATGTCGCTGTTTAAGAGTTAACTTTCAAAAAAGTTAATAAAAAGGTTCATAAATTAGAACACCCTTCTGCGTTTACGGTACATCGATAATAAATTTATTTACCGAGACAAACGCCACAACAACGTTGAAGCAATAAGCATCGCACCTCGTCGTTCGCGTGAAAGAAAAGAAAGTCGCGGGCCCAGATAAATCTTTCCGCCGCTCTCGCGGTGATACAGGTGCACGGTGCACGGAGGTACACACTCACACGTATCCGCGTGTACACGTGAGACGACGACACCCCCGGTGGCGCAAAATTACAATCGTCGCCAAAGTCTATCCCGCGAACGTTTACCCCCAGGCAGCAGATAGAGATTTATGACGCGGCCTCGGGAAATTCTCTCTCTCGCTGCTTTACTCCAGTGGCACCGACCTACAACGGGCGCGCCGCGCCGGCACGACCTTGGAGAACTTCGGAACAAAGTTAAACGCTCGTCCGCGGCCGTTGCACGCTTTCCGGCACAACGTGCCCGACCTCCAAGACCGCGGGAAAAGGCACGAACCGCACGTGTGTGTAATGCCGGTTCCACATTGCGGTCCCTCCCCCGTGACCCGGGTCAAGTCTTTTCGGGAATAATAAATTCATGCATAATTAGCATAAATCTAGGATGGGAGCGATAAGAAAAGCTTAAAGAGTTAACGAATGCCTAAGATCTAATTGGAGGCATATCTTTGACAGAAAGTTTATTTGGCATTAGTTTCTACCGTCTTATTACCTATACGTCTCTTCTTTCTCTTCGAGAATTGGCCAATTTCTCGCGAGATGCTCATGTTATTGGCGAGCAATGTTCGCGAGCTTTAGTATGGACGTCGCTTAAAGCTCGCCGCGGCGAAGGGGCCATAAGAAGGAGACTAACGGCCGATCGAACAAACTTTATCGAGGCGAAACGCGACCCTCCTCCGTCATTCACGACGCTAACCTAACCCAACTTGACTTCGCTCGACCTTCCCGCCTAGCCGGGTGCTTTATGGTGTTTCGAGCGAGGGTGTGAAAAGTGTGTTTCCTCCTCCCTCCTCCCTCCCTCCCTCCCTCCCCCGTACGTCGATGGAAAGCAAATGCGTTCGTTCCCGCGCCGGGTCGTCCGTAAATTGTGACTCGTCTCTGATACGGACGTAATCATGGAACTTGCGATCCCGGGCGCGAGTCTATTTTTTTTTAGGGTTGGGAAATTATGGTAATTTATGGAAAATTTGAGAATTTTCCGAGCGAGGAAAAAATAGCTGAAAACGCCGAACTTCTGTCACGGACGTTCTTTGTGAGTTAACGTCTCTGTGAAACAAATTCTGCCGCTCGAACTCTTCGCTCTTATCGCGAAGTTGTTGCTGTTTTTGGAAATTTTTGCCACTAATACGATTGGCGATATCAGTGTTGATAATACCGTTCCCTACTGGTTTGAAGGATTTAATTTTTTCAGCATGAAAAAATATGCAAGGGATATAAATTTTTAAAATATCTGATAATGCCGTTAAAAGTAGAAATAAAATACGGGAAGGTATACGTGATAAATATTAATATCAATGCAAATATTTTTCTGTAATATGGAACCATTGTTTCTGCAAATAATTTACGTATATATATTTTTACTGTAGCATATTTTTATTAATGGATACCTCTGAACCGTGCAACTTGATACATAATCGATGTGCAATATGTGAAATCTGAAGATAATATTTCCTATCTGCAAACCGAAAATATCCGAATAATTAATTTCGATATGATCTCAATTAGTATCACAAATTAATCACATTACTAATATTCGCTGACATTTATAGGAGATATTAACTGCAATTCTCAATATTCTAACTCTCTAATTTTCTTTGCATATCTTTATTTATCGCATATGATATATATATAATATACCCAATAATATATATATATATTGGTCTTAATATATCTTTTACGTAGTCGAGAATAATTCTCTTTGAGAGAGAAAGGATGTTTAGAGAGACATTTATAGTTTTTAATTCGTTCTTCTCTCCAAAGAGAAGGCACTAATTCGTCACGTCACACGATTGAATGGGTTTTTGAAGATTTCCGCAACAAGTATTTTCTCAGCGTGATTTTTCACGGTCCATCATGTTACGGCGAAATTGTCAAAACTCCGGACGCAAAAAACCCCCCTCGCATCGTACTTTCTGAACTTTCGGACTTCAAGGCCAACGCGTACAGTACGTTCTCCTTAAACTCGCATTATGGAATTCCGGACATCAGAGAGAGCGCAACAGGACCTTAGGTATCGCATTTTTCTTCTCGCCCGTTCCCACTTCTTTCTCCAGGGGTCTCGTTCTCGGTTACGAGAGACGCGGCGCGAGCAACGCTTTCCCGAGAAGAAATATCGCCCCTGATATTTTTCTAATGCGCGGAGACTCCGACCCTCCTCCTTCATTTCCAGACAACGGTAACGATGCGCGAGGGAGTCGCGGGGGATCTCGGCTATCATTTAACGCGAAATGTACAGTTTATTATCTAAATGGCCGCTAACTCGTTGCGCGGATCGCTCGCAGTCGTGTAAGATTTTTGTAACAGCGGTAAAGTAAATTATCGCGACTCTTCCCTCGACTTTCGTCGCGCCGTCGTCTCATATTCCGGGTCTCTTTGTCGGATAAGGGAACGGTTTTCGTTAGATATCTGTAACGCGAATAATTAAAAAATTGTTCGTTTGTGAGGCGAAGCTGCTATATTTTATACGTCATAAATACGCAAACCTTCTGTGTGTATAGTGACTTGTCGCAGAGATAAATCCATTTCACTTTGGACATCTTAATCGTCATCGGTGAACTCCGACGAGCATTGTTAGTCTCGCGCTTTATCAAACGCGCGAATTTCTCGATCGACGAGTATATTCGCGTTTGAAACGG